CAATCCTCAGGACAGTCCTGGGGGGCATCTATCCATCCCACATTGATGAATGTGAAAGTTGAGGATCAGGGAAGTGAAGGAATTTGCCTAAGGACACACCATCAGCACTTGGGGAGTTGAACTCTGAACAAGGCCTGCCTGTCCTGAGGACTCTGATTTAAGGCTCCTCCTTCTTTCATAACTTCTGAACAAGAAAGAAGCTGGTGCATAGGAAGAAAATTTGGACATTTTGGAAGTGTTTAAGGAGAGATGATGGATCGATTCACCTGTAAGATCACTCACTAACCAGAGAGACAGAAACAGAGATAGAGATAGATAGAGATGATAGAGAGGCAGCCCTTGGAAGATTTCATTCACTATTTTTCTATATAGGCCACATGTCTATGCAGGTTAAACTTTTATGAAATTAGGATACTATAAGTCAGTATTTATTTTTCTCTCTTTTTTTTTTTTTTTGTCTATTCCTAGAGTATGAAATAATCCGAGGATGGGATAGAAATATCTCATCCATGTCTCTCCTTCCCCTTCCCCTCCTGGCCTTCCCTGTCTCCCTGCTTCCCTAACTGGATCCCCAGACTTGGACTCCCAATTCATCCCCACATGATACCCAAGAGACCTTCAGGGCTTCTGTTTCCCTTGCATTGAAGGCTCCCCGCAAAGTTGGTGGCTCCTGAAAATTGCTTGGATGGCCTTTCGAAACCACTTTGCTGTTGTCTTCCCAGAAGGCAGACAGCATGGCTCAAAAGTTCAGAGCCCAAGCTTTGGGGTCAGGCAGGCCTCCTCTGTGCCCCAGCTTTACCTCGTACTAGGCGTACAAACCTGAACAAGTTACTCACTGACCCTGAAGGGAACTGTGGGAGCATCTGGGACATGATGGTTGTGCAAGGCTTACCTGGGCCTGGCACAGTGACAGCTGGCCTGGCAGTTATTCCAGGCATTGCTGCTATTACTAGAGGTGACATGTGGACACTGAGGTTCCTGTACCCATGTCACTGTGGCTCTATGCCTTAAAAGAAAGCCATATGTATGGGCTTACAGGTGTCACTCTGTGGAAGAAATTTCTAAGGCCAAGAGGAGGCATGACCTGGCACGTTTCCCTGTGCATTTCAGCTGCTGCCCAGGGTTAAGTTCCCAGCTTATTTGCAGGGTCGAGTGTGCCTTCCCTGGCTGAGTTCCTTCAGCTCCCTCTGGCACACTATGAAGGGTACAGGCTCCATTCCTTCCCAGCAGTCAGATTGGGCCAAAGGTGCACGAGGGACAAGGTACATAGGTCACCCTGGGATGCCCCAGGAGTGCAAGGCTCAGAATTTATAAGGAGACATGGGGTCCTGGACCACAGCTCCAGGACCACAGGCAGGCAAGCCCAGCCCTGATCCCCTGCCATGGAGACAGGAAGAATTTCTGCCACAGGGTGCAAGGAGACTTGGGACTGAAGGTGGACCTGGTGCACATGCCCTGTCTTCTCTCTATTTTAATGAATACAAAGACAGAATATGGATTCTGTCCAATGGGACATCATAAAAATTATGATGGTTCCTTCCTCTTATTAATAATTTTCAAAAAGCCATGAAGTCTTGATTGCTAGAATGAAGTGGAGTTAAAAGGCTCCCTCTCTGGAGGCCACCTTTCCCACGCATCTCATTTCTCAGGAAAGGAAACTGAGGCCCAAGGTCACCCCTGACAGGCAGCGTTGCTCTGAAGACTGGAGGGAAAATAATGTACATAGTATCACAGTCTTTTGACCTGGAGACAGAGAAGTCACACCACAAAGACAAGGGAGAAAGAGACCGAGAATTATCCAAGCCATTGTTAATTAACTCATTTCTCTTTTGCCCTTTTCTTACCGTTCCCAGAAGCAATTATGTCGCTTATACCCTCTCTCCCACCTCTAGCCACTGCATAAAATTGTCACAGATTAAATCAAATCGTTCAGCCACTTCATTAGGGAGACTCCAGCTTTCATTCTCAAGGGTATTTTTGCTCTTCTCAAATAAAAGCCCTTTCCTGATGAGTTAACTCCTTCCTGGGGGCTCTGGGAGACTAGTGAGCAGCCGCCAGGGGCCCATAGGGGCCTGAGGGGGATTTGGGGGGCTCATAGCTCAAATGCAGCCCTCTCTCGTGGAGAGTGAGTTCCAACCACCAGCAACACAGAAGAGCGGTGTGCTGGAGCCAAAGGAGTGTTAGAGCCGCAGGTTCCAGGTCCAAGGACTGCCTTCCCTCTGCTCTCAAAACCTCAGGTATTTGTCTCTTATCCGACAGACCATCTGAAAAATGTAAGTTTAAACTCCCCTTTTTTGCCTGCATGTACTGGATTGCAGGAACTACCCCAAAGCAGCACACAAACGCTTGAGACAAACTGTAAAGTTATGGAGAAGGAGTCTCATGAATACCAAAGGCTTTTCCAGCTGTTTTCTGGCACAGCTGTAATGGGAGGGGAAGGGAAGAGATAGGACATTGTGGCCAGAGCTTCCTGCTGGCCAGTGGCTCCCGGACGGAGAGAAAAGAGTGGGAGGGGAGGCCGGCCGGCTAGAGGAGGGGCTTCTGGGGTCTGAAGCACAGTCACTAGGTGTCACTTGATGGCAAGGGGCAGAGTAAAAGGACAGAAAGGTGCTGTTCAAGGAGTCCAGAGAGACCATGCTCGGGGCATGGAACACCTGCAGAGCTGGTGGTGGGCAAAGGGGCTACCCGTGCTTGGTGTCAGGGTTGTCTCTACGTGCAGGGTGCTATCTCCGAAAGCTCCAAGGCCTCAGTGAAAACAAACAGAGAGGCTGAAAAACTGGGGCAGCTGGTGGGGCTGCAGGGAGCAGCAGAGAAGGACAGGGCAGCAGTGGCTCTGCTCTGTACAGCTGTGCGTGCCGTACTAATGCTCTGTGCAGACCTGGGCCTCACAGAAGTGAGAAGGATAGGTGTGGTCGGAAAGGCTGTGTGTGTATGTTTCCTCCCACAGATGTCCAGGGTGAGGCCCCGGAGGCTGGTAGGCTCACAGGGTCCCACCCCTCCCGTAGTGCAGGTTCAGGGCAGGGCTGGCCAGAGTATACACTGGGGAATGTGGGTCTCTGTCACCCACCTATAGCTTGCCAGGCCAGGGGTTAGAGACCAGGTAGATCCATCCACTCCCTCTGGGAGAAAGGAGAATGCTGAACAAACTATGCAGTCTGCAGGAAGGGGCGGCTAAGCCACAGGGTACTGCAAAGGAAACCTGGATTAACAGGCAGCCTGTCCCGACCAGTCCCTGAGACCCTCAGCGTCCAGAGAAGATGGGGTTCCTACTTCACTGTAACAGGAAGCTCTTCTGGCCTCACTTGCATGGTGCATAGCAAGTTTTTAATTTTTTGCAAGCCTTGTGCTTACCCAGAGAATACTATGCTGCATTAGTTTCAGCTTTAAGTGATAAGTTGTTAATGTAAATATTTAGAGTATATGGACTTTAAAAGAAAACCACTCAACCTGATGGACCTTGCTTCTTAATATGCTAAGAGTCCCACTTCACAGCACTTGTGCTCCAAAACGAGGCAGGATGCCAACCTCCCTCTACTTCACCTCAAAGGCCTCACTGTCCCAAACGGCATAGACCATTTTGGAACCTATGCAGTTGACTCTACTTGCCATTTTCAACTTGCTTTGGTGTCAGAGCCAAATACCCAGAGTAGAGACAATGCTGTAAATGTTTAATTTTGATCTTTTCCCAGGTGGGCAATATTGGCATGATGCTTTTCCTTTCTCATCAGCCAAATGGCAGCAAGGGAAGCAACCCTCCCCCTACAGTGTTCTGTGTCACTGACCTGTGACGTCTGAAGGTCAGGTGTGGGTAGTAAGTGTATTTGGACTTGTAGTTTTTTCAGTGTGTAATGGGATTATTAGGGCATGGCCCTGGGTGGGGCAAGGAGCATTGCTGCAGGATCCCAGGCTGGGTGGGACCTTTGCAGACTCATGAGGCTTGACCACAGGTGCAGACACGGAAAAGATGGGGTGTGTTTCTCATTGGCTTGGGCACTTCATGGATGTGCCCTTCTGCTGTGTTTCAAGCGTCCTGTGAAAACACAGCTTCCTCAAGGCTCCTTTATGTAACCATCTATGTAGCTTTCAAAGAGCTTGTGTGAGGGCCCAGAATCGGGGTGTTTATCATGAAGGATAGAATCTCACTTCTGTGTGTACTTTATTATCTCTGTTAGTTTTGTAGGCACAAACTGAAGCTGTTCTATTATCCTCCCAAACTGGCAGGACAAGGTGTACAACTTGCTTGAGGTCAAACAGCTTGCGAGTGCCTCGCCAGAATTCTATGTGGGGTGGGCCCTGGGAGGAAAAACTGTTAGGCGGGCAAGCTGGAGACTAAACATCAGCAGTTCAAGTCCCAGCCCCACCTTTCCCTGCCTTGTGGCTCTGCACGGGTCACTTAGCCTCTCTGAGACTCAGTTGCCTTCCCTGCAAACTGAGCTTATGGATGCAGTGACCAGATGGCATGGTAGATGTGAATGCTTTGGTCACACTACAGCATGCCGCCAGTCCCAAGTGTCATCAGAAAGCTCTCCTTAGCATCACTTTGTGAGGGCGTGTTGGAAAATTCCAACAGACAAGAACAGGTAGGGACAGGACCCCCTCCACATCCCTTGGGGGCCTAAAGTCACATTGTGTGCCCTGATTTCACACAGTGAGGACGCTGATGGCTAGGGTTTCTGGGCACAGACTCTTGGGGGCCAACTGAAACACTGCTCAGCTTCTCACACAAACACAGCCTGCTGTCCCCGGTGAGGGTGCAGAAGAATGGAAACTTCTACCACCAACACCACTTGCTAGCAACTTCCCTCTCTGTGGTTTTTCTCTGTCATTCCCTTGATAAAAGGACTTGAGCTGCGCAAGTGTAACCAACACAAATAGCATCTTGATATGAAAACAGACGCAGGCTGCCTGGGAAAGGATGCACGATGCTCTCTAAACTGGTTCACTCTTCCCCCAGGCACTCAGGGTGCAGCTGACTTCCCCTGTGTGCCCTTGTACCTTAGACTTCAAGCATCTCTGGCAGCCCCAGGGAACAGAGACATGGGCAACAGCATGAAATCCACCCCTGCGCCCCCGGAGAGGCCTTTGCCCAGCACAGATGGTAAGTCTGCCTTTTCCTTTGATGACATGTTCCACTCTGCCCTATGTGGGTGCTGATCCTTTTGCTAGCTGGGATTCGCTGTACTCTACTTTGTTTGTGGTTCAAATACTTAATGATTGAAAATGTTAAAAAAAAAACTGGGTCCCTGGTAGCATCATTAAGCTGTGGACATTTTGAGATGGATCTCTGAGCTTGGTTGGTTTAGTGCCTTTATTTTATAGGTGTGGAAATTGAGCTCTCTCTGTCCCAAATGTAGTTTGTGTCCATTAGCAAGTCACAGAGTCAGACTTCTAACCCAGGATCTTTTGAGTGTGAAAGCCAGAGCCCTGGCCATCGTTCCCTGCAAGACTGTGACAATGTTATTGTCCACACAGCCACCTCTCAGGGTCACCTCCTGAGCTGGACTGTCCCTATCACATTCCCAGAAAAGAAAGAGGTCCTTGTGTTCCACAGAGGATGGCAAAGTGTCAAACATTCTGAGGCTGGGTACCAGGCTAACCAGCAGTGGCAAGACACCCTGAAGAACAAAAATTTGGTCAGCAAGTGGCCAGAAAAGGGGAGGGACCATCAGCGAGCAGAGGCAAAGGCTGCACAAGTCCCGTGTTCTGGGTCGGCCATGCTGACTGTTTCTGCCATCCTTACCTTTGTTTGTGAAGATTCCAAATTCAGGCAGTGTGTGTGTGTGTTGTGGTACCTGTGTGGGTCCTCTGGTGAGGGCTGGAAAGGGACATCATGGAGGCCAGGGGAATTCCTAGGGGAATCTCAGGGCACTTCTGGCTCCCTCCCTTCATGACAGCATCTGGGGGCTGGTGTCCATCTGGCAGCACAGGTGACCAATGCCCAGTTCCCTCTTCCCCAGTGGCACTGCTCTGGCGATCACAAGCACAGATGGCTTCTCTGTCAACATGAGCGTGGTTCCCGACTGCCTCTAACTACTGCTCCATCTTTGGCTTCTCTGCCCCCTTTACAAAGTAGCCTTTTCTCTCTGCCAAAAGCGGAGCAGTACAGCTGCCAAAATGGTTCAATCCCACAGCCTCTCAGATGGCCACGTGAGAAGGAGGACAGTGCCTCCCCACGCCTTTGCAGGCCAGACTCAGGAGCTCCTAGGGGCCCAGCGACTCTCTTCTCCGAACCAGAGAGAAGCACAAAGAACATCCCCAGGCCCAGGAGACTGACCCTGAGATGAAGCAGGGCCGAGTGTGGCCCTCAGGCTGCCACCTCCCAAGCAGAGCTCACCGACTGGCCAGGCCCTGGCCTCCTCCTGGCCATGCCTGTCACTAGAAAACTACCCAGGCTGGCTCAGGGGCACCCACCCAAGCCCATTTAGAGTTGTCTCCTCTCACCCAGAGCAGAGGTCCTGGCATGCTTGAACAAACCCCATGAAAACATCAGCCCCCCCCCCCGCAGACTTGCTCATTTGCCTTTATTTTTTAAATGCAAATGTTCCGAAGTAAATTTTTCTCTTTCCGTAATGTGGGTGGGAGGTCACCTCTAAAAAAGGAGGCAAGGGGTCTCCCCTACTCCACCCACTGGTTAGGAGAATTCCCCGGGCCGTACCCAGTTTGTAATCCAGGCAACCACATCAAGCATTGCTGGGTTGCTTTGCACCCTTACCTCTGAAAAGTTTCCTTTATCTTCAGTCCTGACTTTGTTTCCTCTTTTCTCTTGCCCTTACCGACTCAGGGAGGAGAAGTTGGTGAGACGTATGCTGCCCTAATTAGTTCCTGTCTACGTGAGGCAGAGCATAGGTCTCTCACGAAAGGAGATCCTACGCAGCTATACTTGTTCAGCTCCTCTTGCCTTCCAGGAGGCAGAGCCTGGCTTGCTGGTTGCCTTAGACCAGCACACAACCAGAATTCCTCTGACATTAGCTTGAGTGACAAAAGGTTGAAGGCTCCAAAGCCCCTGGCCCTAACAGGCAGCAGCAGGGGCTGACTTTGGGACCACTAGCTTGGATTTCAGATAAGTGAATCTCCTGAGCTTCAGGGGCGATCCTTCTCCCCTGAGCCAGGGTTATGAGCACTTTGGAATATGGCTTTGGCCATGTGTCTCCTCCTAAATCAAGCTTTCCTTGTTAGAGTAGCCCCAGAGACTGAAATCACAAAAGGCCAGAAATAGCAGGACTTGCTGGAAACAGGGCAGGTTTCAGAGGCAAAGTCCCTCCACTGACTCAGTGATGTCCCTCTCTCGGGACCCATATGACCTTAGGGATTTTCAGCCTCCCCCAGGGACTCAGTGGGACTGGAGAAGGAATCACTCCCTCCCTCACCACAGCTCACTGGTAAATGAAGCTGTAAAGACTTCCAGCACCACGCTTTGGGAGGTCCACCTGCACCGGGCTGTGTCTACATGGCCATCCCCACAAAGCGGAAAAGGGTAGAACTGGCCAGTCCGTGGCTTGTCTCCAAGTCATGCCAACGAGTGAATCTTCTGTACAACCCTCTGTTGTCTCCACTCTCCTCCTCAGCGCCTGTGCAGAGCTATAGGACACTCCCCACATAAGGGAAACAGCATATTTCCACCTTACAAAGACAGTCACAGCTACTATCCTCCCCTGGCCTTTCCTTCCTCCTTCTGATCTATAGTGAGACTTCACCACCAGTGCTGGCCACGCAAGCCAAACCGCATTCAGGCCCCTTTCTACCATGCCAGTGTGGAAATCACACCCCTGGGGCACTGACACTGCTACCTGCCTATGGAAAAAAAGAGGGGTGAGTGAAGCCGGAGGGGACGAGGACAGAGAAATCTCAAGATCCACCCTGGCCTTGGTATGTCCCTGAGCCCGCAACGTCAGAATTCCCTGGGAAGCAGTGAGCAAGCAGGTCCGTCCACCCCAGACCTGCTAGCCAGACCCATGAAGGTGCACAGCAGCAGCAGGATGCATTCTTACTGATTTCTGGCAAACCATAAGCCTCTAAAGCTGGGGACCACAGGTCAGCTCCTAGCCCTGCCTCTGTGCAAATGTACAGTGAGAGAAGTGAGTTCTTCCCCATTTATCTGCGGATGCTCGGTTGGGAAGTGGGAACCGACGCAGAGTGACCCAGTGCTCACGGGCCAAATAATTCCAGCTGCCTCATGTGCACGAACTGACACATCACACCTGCAATTATATGTCACCTACAAATTACATGCTGTGTGTGAATTCACACATATAAACTATTAATTCGTGTGAAGGCCCACAATGTACCACATTTGTCCGAATTTGCAGTGGAGGAGACTGAGGCAGAGAAGGTCAAATGACTTCTTGAACCCATTTGGCTGGGAAGGGAACAGAATGGATGCACAGCCAGAGGCCTGAGCCTAGCATCCCTCTTCACCATCACGTCAGGCCAGAGAGGGCCAGCTCTCCGGAAGCCTGAGTGTCCTGATGAGGACAGGCTCTCTGGGGTGAGGAAAGTGTCCCCAGTCACCAGGCTCCCATGCCTAGTGAAGGATCCCACAAACAGTCAAATGCATCAGATCGCAGGAGAGAGTCTGCATTCTTATTTGGGTCCCTCCCACTGCCAGAACAGGGATGGTGTCCATGATCACTCAGCTTTTATGTCATTGGTATATCTAGGGACTCTCAGTATAACGTAAGTGGCCGATCAAATCCAGGATTTCACATTCTCAGAACAAGGTGACAGTTTTTAAAAGTTAAGTGATGTTAAGAGAAATGTTATTAGAGGCCAACAGCAGTGTAGGTGGCACTAGACTCCAGGGACAAAGGAGAGCAGGTGGCCAGGACATAGTGCTTGGCTAGGAGGTAGCCATGGTCTGACTCCTGCATGTGGCTGCTTTGCTGGGTGGCCTCAGGCCAGTCTCCAGATCTTGCTGAGCCTCTCCCCTGATGCCACCCAAGGTGGCCACTGCCTATCGGTGCCACAGAGAGGGTCTCAAGAGCAGCATGCAGCCCAGCCTGGCCTCCCAGGCTGGTCCTGCTGCTGCCAAATGTAAACGGTGACAGGAAAGAGAATGGGGGACTGAAGGCAACTGAAGTCTGGGAAGCCCAAGATAGTACCCACGGTGAGACTCTGGAGCCCATAGGTCACCTCCTCCTGCTGCTCTATGCCAGCGTCCTGGGCCCATGGAACCTAAGGGCATGGAGATTGATGCCAATGCTTTCAGGGTTGGTTTGGGTCCAGTCTGCACACTAACACATGGAGAAACCAGAGCATGGGCAGAAAAGTGCTCTGGACAAGTGTGTTTCACCTTACATATTAGCAAGAGGCTTGCGGTGACAACGGAACCTAGTAGGCTGTCCTCAGCCAGCTGCCAGCACCATCAGATTGTTTACTCGTGTACATGAGCAGTTCCCTAAGAAAATTACTGAGAGTCGGGCTGCTGTGACCCCACTGAGCCCCCTGAGCTTGTGCCTGACACAGGAGAATGTAAATCAGAAGTTGAAATCACAGGGCTGCCCGGGATGCAGGTGCCAACTATGAAATTTCACTGGAGTTGGCCCTGGTCTTAATCTGTTAAAGGCCAAGTGCGGGTGAGGCAGGGCCCAGAAACTAAGGGCCAGGGAAGCTTTGTGCACAGTGAAGCTGTTAACAGCAAGCATGGGCTCCCAGCCTGCAGGCAGATGAAAATCACACACACCCAGGTGCTGTGGCCCATGCCTGTAATCCCAGCACTCCAGCAGGCTGAGGCAGGAGGACTGCAAGCTCAAACCCAGCCTGGGCAAGTTACTGACTTAACGAGAACTTGTCTCAAGGTAAAAAATAATGAAGGATGGGGATGCAGTTTAGTGTGAAGAGCCTGGGTTCAATGCCCAGTAGTACCAATTTTTTAAATTATTATTATAGCAAAGAAACACAGACATAGTGGAGATGGCTGCCCCACAGACAAAGCAGGGGCCAACTAACCCATAGTCAGGACAAAAAATACACCTTATACTTGTGGGGTCCCTTCTCAGCTTCCAGTGCACCCTGCTTTTTCACCCTGGGAGAGCATCCCTCGCTCTGTTGGTTAACAGTTGCCTCCTGTCTCCCTCTCATCCCTCGAAGTGCAGGCACCTGCTCACTTCCTATCAGGGCTGTTTCCAAGTCCCTTAGCTCCCTGACGCACACACCCTCCTGGACTCTAGATCTAGGTCCCCCGGCTCTGAGCCATTTTCTGCAGCTTCTTCACTATTTGGCTTTGAGCAAGTGACTTAACCTGCTTCAGCGTCCTGTTTGCTCCCTGCCTCACAGAGGCCCCCAGCTTTGAAATGCTCCTGCTCTGTCTGGTGCTAAATTCCTCATGGCAGTTGCTCCTTGGATCTTCAAGTCAGGGTCTTTGTGCTGCAGGGTGGGACAGCACTTCCGAGAGACAAATGTCTCCCTGCGCTGCACAATTAATTATAAATGGGACCTGCTGAGGGCATTTTCAGCAACGGAAAAGAAATAGGAAGGCTACTCAAAGAATAATCAGGTGCAAATGGGCCTGCTTAAAAAAAAAAAAGATACAATATCTGTGCCCAGTAAGCGCTGCCCAGGGCCTCTTCTTTTTCTGGACTCACTTCCTACTCTTCTGCTCACCTGATTCATTCCCCTTTTGGGCTGTCAGCAAATATTTAATATTTTGAATTTCATCTTTGGCTCTCACCCCTGGAGTTTGTATTTAGATAAGAAGGTGATACGATCTGTTCAAATCCACAATACTAGATAGTTTCAAAATTTGGGAACTGTTGGCCAAAACCAGTCTTGGCTGTGGGCCGGTCACCCTGCCCCACACGACAGTGGCACTGCCTGTCACTTATGGGGACAGGCTCCCTGCATCACGATGATGCATCAGGAGTCTTTAACCCATCAGCAAGGCAGAGTTGGACATTACTCACATTCATACGTCAAGAAATCAGGTCCAGATTAGTTCAACTTAATCTGTCTCCAAATCGAAGAGCTATTAAGCAGCGGAGGTAGATTGAAGCCAGGTCCAGCCGACTTCAAAGCCCATTCCCTTTCCATAGATCTCTGCTGAACATCCCCCCTGGATTTCTTCCATGCATGGCACATACGTCTTCACTTAATTTGGACCTTGTCATAAAACTTCAGTAACCCCACCTATGTGCTCAGTGCCTCTCTCTCCTCATAAGGCCTTTCTCTGCTCTGACTCAAAGGCTCAGCTCTCCCCAGAAGCAAGGGGCCAAGGAAGTACACGGTGATAGTGGCTGAACCTGAAGAGTGAGAGGCCATTTCCTGCCTTGCAGGGAGCAAAGCTCAGAAGGGACGTGGGAGGGGTCCCAGGAGAATGGCATGCTTAGGATGGTACCTATCCCTACAGATGCACCTGCTAGTGACTGTTCTTCCAACACTCACAGGGCCATGGGTGAAATCTCCTGCAGAGAACCAGGCGTCCTTCATCAGATCCCTAAACAAAGGTTGCCTCACCGAAGATTATGTGACTTAGACACAAAAAACCATTATGGAAATTCCACAGGAAACTTCTCTGTTACTGTGCAGCTGAGACTCTAACTCCATCAACCTCTTTTCCTTCATTGGGACAATTATTTTTATAATGATTTGGCTTTTGTTTTTGTTTTTGTTTCTTTCTGTTACTTTTTTTTAAAACATTACAAAAGAGGATTGTTCTCTCTTGAACCAGACATCAAACCGCAAACTGGGATCTGTGTCAGGGTCTATTCTTGTCACAGATAACAGCACGCATTGCAGCTCATTTCAGCCCTTGTTTTTCAAAGATGGCTCTGAGAGGCTGTCCACCCTGCTGCCTACCGCAGATGGGTCCCTTCTGCCTGCACTGCTTTAACAAAAATCAACATAAAGGCCTTTCCTGAGGGTGCAATCACCCTCCGCTTCTCCTGGCATTCAAAGCACCTGCCTGGAGCATCTGAGAGAAGATAGGCTGTGTCCTGGGTTCAGCATGCAAGGCACAGAAGCCACAGGTAACCTGTTGCCTTGCTGAAACTCACAGCAGAGAGCCACACAATCGTGCAAATACAGCCTGGAGCCATTGCTTCAAAGGAAAATCTCAGGGGCTGACAGTGAATATAGGAGAGTGAATATAGGAGAGCAACTGCCCCTGGGGAGGCCCAGGTTGATGCAGCCAAGGAGGAGAGGGGGCTGAGCCAGTGGGTCCAGGCAGAGGGAGCAGCCTATGCAGAGGCTCTGAGGACCCCAGGAGCCTGTGAGTCTCAGGAAGTACGGTCACCCTTATCAGAGGCAGCTGAGTTAAGCAGTGGTCCTTTCACATTCAAGGCCAGTAGAGCAAGTAGAATGGGTCTGTCATGAAGGCATTTCCAGTGGGTCATTTTCCAAACTAGGACACCAGGTGCATCTATCCTTATCCCTTTGCCTGTGACAGCCTGGCTTGACATACCAGGAAGCTAAGTGCATCGTGAGGGTAGGCCCCTTACTGGCTCAGCACCCTGCTAAGGCCTGTCTGCCCTCATCTTGCAATTTCATACCCTTTTTTTTTTTTCCTTCCAATTTGCATAAAGTTCATGCCCCACCAAATCAGGATCCGCCCACTGTTAGAACTCAGGGCTTGTGACTTCACACCCGATACAACTGTAGTGCTGTCTGCTGGGGTGGGGTCTAGACTACACAGAGGGAGAACTGCTCTGAATTCAGAAAAACAGGTTGGGAGGTGGGATGCAGCAGTTTACAGGCCAGCTTACAGCCAGAGAAGCCAGAGGACTGACGGGGTCGGCCTTCCACGCCTGAGAAACTTATTTCTCCGCAGTCCTGCTCTGGTTCCTCTGCAGTACTCAGAAGGACCCTAAATATCACTTTCGGTTTCCATCTCACACCAGGAACTCTTGCTTTTACGTAGTTCATTGTCTCCAGCTCAGTTTCCCTTCGTGAAGAGCACAATTGTGTGCACTGTTCTACCACGATAACTTGTTTCCGGTTCACTTATCAATTGATGACCAAACCTTTTACTAAAAGTCTCACTCATTTTTCTTACTCATTCCAGCGTCTAATCTCTCTTTTTGACTTGGCCTTTTCCCAGAGACTTCACAGCTAGAGATGCGGAACATATGGGTATAAGAGGCAGGGACTCACAGTCTCAGAAAAGGGGCTCTGCATTACAGAGAGAGGCCTGTTGGGGGCATCCAGCCTGATGCCTCAGTGCTGGGATTTGTCCAGAACTTCCTAGAGCAAGGGATGGGAAGAGCTTGTGGGGGCAAACCCTGGGCTCCTGGTCCATGCTCAGCAAGTAATTTCGAAGTGGATGAATAAAAGTGTTCCCAGAACTATGTGCACAGTCACTGAGACAGCCGCTGGAATGAAAATCATCACAGCAAACAGTTAAGGTACTTGCTGCTGCATATCATTCCCCCCAAAATATATTCTGATATTACTGTCTGATGCATACAAATGATGGCCCATCACTAAGGATGCAAAATAGATACTGCTTAGTGTCGAAAAGGAAAATCACCACTTTATCACTGTATATCTACTGTAAGCTGTGCTCATGTAGCCCTGATAGCATTCCTTCCTTTTCAAAACTTTACCCAGATTACTTTCAATAAATCTACAATGAAAAGTCCTTTTCTGCCACCCACTTCACCCCCAGCAAAAGTCCCTGTGAAGGAGATGCCAGGCGGGGCATCCCGGCCTGCGGAAGGAGGAAGTGCTATGTTCTAGCAGACCTGGTGCTTCCTGGTCCTAGAGGACCGTGAGAACTCCTTGAGCCACCTCCAAATGCACAGATGTGGGGACCACAGGCCCGGGACACATCGGGGGAGCTTGACAGCACTCCATTGTGCATGCACCTCCTCTTGCCTCATTGTAGAAGGACCTAGAGTGAGCTATGAGCCCACTTAAAAGCCAGGGAGATGAATGCTGCTGGGTACAGACAAGATCCTGTAGCCGATGGTGGGTTCAGCTCACAGATCCCCATTTCCCAGATGAGAGCATCGAGCATGGGAGCCAGCCAGGCATGGGGACAGAAGTATGTCACTTGCCCTTGGGCCCTTGGTGCCTTCTCCAAGGAGGGCAGCCCTCGGCACATGCTGCACCTCCAGAACATACAGCATCCCCAGCAGAAGTCCCCACAGTCTGGCGACCCCCACCCAGGCCTGCCTTACTGCTCTTTGTTGTTGAAACAACACTCCTCTGCTTGTTTCCCAGGGCTGGAGAGTGATTTCCTGGCTGTGCTGAGTGATTACCCGTCTCCTGACATCAGCCCCCCGATATTCCGCCGAGGGGAGAAATTACGTGTGATTTCTGAGTGAGTTCACTTTTAAACACTTTTATGATCCCCAAGACAGGATGAACTCATCCTGAGTGTCATTTGGGTTGAATCATCACAGTTTTAGCCACAGTTTCCCAGTTCTCCATGCACCCCGGTCTTACTGCAAGGTGAGAGATTTGGCTCATATGGTGACCTCCACCCCATTTCACTGCCAGCACTATAAAACCATCAGTGCCTTCCCATGGCCTGCTGGATAAAATTTAAATTCTCCAACTTGCCTGTAAGACCGTATAAGGTCGAAGCTTGATTCTTTGACTGGCCCACCTCCCCTACACATGCAGTGGAACAGCACATACCCGTGAAGGCTGGGAAGGAGGACCCAGGGTCCAAAAACATTTCCGCCGGTGAGAAAACAGTATTGTCTGCCATTCCTGCAGCCTCTTCAGTCTGATTCCAAACAGTCTGCAGGACAAAGCAGGAGCTCCAAGCCCCTTTCGCTTTGGTCCTCGTTGAGAGGGTCATAGTAGACTACCCAGGGCAAGTCAACCCCATAAACAATTCTTCTAAAGCCTCCAAAATTGAAGCAACAGTTAAAACATCAGCTTCTGGACCCTGAAAGGCAGCTACTGAAACATGTGGTCACCTTGCCATGGGGCCATGAGAAGATGGATATCTATGCTGTGCAAACAAAAGTTTTAGACACCGAGGTCAATATGGCCAATAGCAGATCTTAAAAGAGGAGGTTCCAAGCCACCACGGGCTCAGTCTGTTAGCTGCCTGCATTTGTCCTTTGCTTTGCCATTAACTTCTCCCCGTCCTATATGTTCTGTCCCAACAGTGAAGGAGGCTGGTGGAAAGCCATTTCTCTCAGCACCGGCCGAGAGAGCTACATCCCTGGAATCTGTGTGGCCAGAGTGTACCATGGGTGAGTGGACTTCTCAGAGAGTCTCATTAAGTCATGGTGTCTGTGCCAAGGGCTCCTGGGGCAGAGACTCCAGCCCGGTGCAGTGGGAAGGGAGGCACCCAGCGGAGGTGCACTCTACTTCCGCCCCATCCGTGTGGAATGTTGGGATATGGATGAGTCCCTTCTGCTCTTTGGAATGGGCTTCCGCAGGGGTGAAATGAAGGAAGCACCTTTCAGTCTGAACACTACGTTCCTGATGTTCAATGATCAAGTCCACTTGATGCTTAAGGGCTATTTTTATAGGATGCAGCACACTATGGTAGCTAAAGCCAGTTGGCCTGGGTTCAGATCCTGCTTCTGTCACTCACTGCCCATATGATAGTGAACAAGCTATTCGACTTTCTATGTGTCATCAGTTTTCTCCTCCCAACTGCCAGGCAGAAAGCACAACAGAGAATGACAGGGAGAATGAGGCACACGCACATGACCCAAGTACGGGGCTCTGAGAACAGGACAGGGCGACACCCCTGGGGGCGCTTCAGGGAGCACCGTGGGAACAGTGCTCTCATCAGATCCATATCCAGTAGCACACAGGACGCTCACTCTGAAAGACCAACAGAAGAGGTGAGAAAAGAGGAGCAGCAGAGGCTTGGCCAGGAAGGAGAGAAAGGGGAAGGAAAGTCCACAGTAAATGTGTTTATACCTTCTTCCCACCCAAAGGGCTCTGTTTCTCATGTGGTCATCTGGTGACACAACGATAACCCCCCAAATGTTTGAAAGGCAGGGATGTGGTGCTGGTATTTATTATCTTAATCATGAGCACTAGAAATCACCTTCATGCTTTGGATGAAGAAAGTGAGCTTCAGCAGGGCAGGCACTGCCACGTGGTCACAGTGTGAAGGGTATGTGACTATGCACGACTCTTGCACCCGTGGCATCTCCTGGAGCTGCTCATGCCTTTGGCAAATGAACACTAACATCCTGCTAGAGCTGCAGGAGCCAGGGAGGGTGGGACTCCAGAGGAGAATTACCATTATGACCTTGTGTGGCAGCCAATCTAGTAAATGCAAAAAGATGCCTTAAAATACGGAGCAGAAAGAAAGGCAGTGAGATACAGTGTTTATGTGTCCCCAGAAGTTTGCTCTCTCCATTGCTGATGTGGTAACTTAGGGAGAAAAACCTTACCTATTTTAGAGAGTTCACAAGAGGATTCCCTTCCAAGTGCTTAAGATACTGTGCGACATGCAAATGAATCAGCATCCCCGCATGGCTGTTACTGTCTTCATCTTTGTGTAAGGACTTGAGGGCAGAAATGTTTGTCACACACTTGAAAACAACTAATATCCCATGCATTGTGCAGCACAAAGGGAGTACTTGAAATATCTGGCCAAACATGGCATAGTCATGACTTTAACAGTAAGTGACGCTGGGGCTGGAGTCTTCTCGCACCTGTGGCTTCGACCTGCACCTGCTGTGCATCCTGGCCAGTGCCAGAGGCTGTGGCTGAGCCAGGTATTAACACAGATCTGAAACTGAATGAGAAGCCAGGATCCACTCACTGAAAATACCGCATCTGTTAATAAGTGATTTGCGACTGCTTCCCAGGAAGTGCCAGCCACTCCCTAACAAAGCGCTTCCTGCCAATTTCAGACCTGGCAGACCCGCATCTGAAAAGCGAGTAGGGGCTGTTTCACTTGGGACAGAGATTCTTTTGAGTTGAGCGCAGCCCCCTAAGAGTACTTGCAAGTGTCAGGTCCCCTTCGCAAGAGAACCTGCCACCAAAAACCTGGGCTTCAGGGGCATAGCTGCTTTTTCTTCCTGTTAAGTGAGAACAACACAAAGCACAAAGCCACGCATGGCAGAGTGACAGGTGAATTCAAATGTGCCACACCCGAGAAGGCTAAGGAAATGAAAGGAACAGGGTGTGGGCTTGTTCCATAGGTGAAATCATGGGCCCCCTTCCTCCCCTCCTGTGTCATGTCCGCTGACTCCCTCAGAACATCTACCACACACAGCACCCTGGACATCATAGCAGAGTCCAGCAAGACAGAGGCAGGGGGCTGCTACACAAGGGGGACAAACTGCCACCCAGTACACCGGGCACTTTTGCACACACATTACTGAACATGACGATGGTGCTTCTGGCTGACATTTGAGAAACACATGAAGAGGAGGGGTGCTGCATCCGTGCCCTTCCTCTGGTACCTGGCACTTCACAGACACAGGCATGTTATTTCAAGATGGAAAACACGAATGCAGGAATGAATGAACACTGCTCATTAGCCACTCACACGGCTAATGGACTGGAGCTTTGTATTCTGTGCATGCTAATGGTGTGTTGGTCTTCGTGGGCCAGCACACGTGGGCTGCTCACGCTGTCTCTCTCCTTCCCAGCTGGCTGTTTGAAGGGCTAGGCAGAGATAAGGCGGAGGAGCTGCTGCAGCTGCCAGACACAAAAGTGGGCTCCTTTATGATCAGAGAGAGCGAGACCAAGAAAGGTGAGCAGCCTCTCTCCACCCTCAGCCACAGCAGGCTCTGTTCCCTTGACTCGGGACAGGGCTCTGTTTCCTCTCCTGCTGCGCAAACACAGATGGGCCCATGTGGTCAGCCGCCCATGGTTCTGCCTGCCTGGGAGGCCAGCATCACAGCAAGGCTCCTAGAATAGGCGAGCGGGTTGGCTAGGAGCGGCCCCAGGCCCTAAACCTGACTGTGGGCAGGCCCTGCTGAAGAATTTCTATGAACAGAGAACAAAACCCAAAGCCAGGCTGTGGTGCGCTAGGTCAGGGCTGTCTGGGAAGCCCTCCCCAGTCTGTGGCCTCTGTGACCTGTTCTCTCATCTGTGACGTGGAATGAAAGGCCCTATTTTATAAGGTTGTGGTGAGATTCAAAGGCAGTGATATTTGCGGTGCTCTTGTGGTGTCAGGGCCTCAATATCAGTTCCCTCTGTGCCTGCTGTGAGAGGGGGCAGCCTGAGGTGAGACCAGGCAGATGTGGGGCCACACACTCGCTGCAGTCTCCGTCTTCAGTCTCCCTCACCACTAGAGACAGAAAGAGTAGGGTCTTCTCCATGGTTCAGAGCAAGAGCCCAAAGTCTGGTTTCAGCCGTGAATCACTAAGCCATCTCCTAGGTTCGACTTCCTAGGACCTGGGGTCAGTGGGCAGGGGGAGTTATTCCTTAGTGCCACGCCTGTATCTAGGGGGGTTCAGTCACTACTTAGGGGGACCCTCCCTACTGAATACTCCCTTACTGAGTAATCACAGAAACAACTATTTAAGATAGCATGGATTTTCCAGCTCTCAACAAGCTCTTGGTTCCCTTGCTGTCAAAAAAGAGAAAACAGTATTTAAGAGCATTCTTCAGGCACCTACTGAGGGCCAGGGTCAGGGCCACTTGGTGCCGCCATAAGGGAGCAGGAACTTACACGTGACTTTAGGAGCCCCAGAACAATTTTCTATGAATGGCCTGTGTATGTTGGGGAAGTTGAAGCTCAGAGCAGAGGACAAACACTGTGCACCTGTGCCCCGGGGCCCAGGAGCAGGACACCAGACTCAGGCCGGAGGCACAGAGAAGTGAAAGGACCTCTCGGAAGGCTGCAGCTCTTCTAAAAAGAGTGCAGTGCTCTAAGGAAGCCCTGCAGTGGGGCGGGCAGGGAGGCAGCAGGCCCCACTCCCCGGGGTATGCAAAGTTCTGAAGATTTTCCGCTCTCTGTGCCTGGCCCCCCCAGCATGCTCCAGTCCCATGTAAGTTATGCGAAGTTGCTCAGGGGTGCATTTGCAGGGCAGGCCTGGGCCTGGTGAGGTCTGAGCCTGAGAGGGCAGGGGGAGCCCAGAGGAAGTGACACAGAGGACAGACACCAGGCTGCAGGCCCTGAACTGTGTGCACAGAGGGGCTCAGGTCCTCCGCTGCTCCAGCTCTAAGCTCTCCAGGCACAACCCCTCCCAGGCCCCTTCGGAGAATGAATGAGAGCATGTTTGGCAGCAGCCTGGCCCCTGCCTGGCACAGACAGCCTGGACTTAAGAAGGTTCTGACTTCTTCACCCCTTGCCACCTCCTGAGGTGCTTTCAGTCCTTGAACCCACAGTGTTACATCCAAGACTCCCTCTTCCCACTGGAGGAGATCCAGGCTAGGGGAGGTGAGAGTGCCTGCCTGGGCCCTCACTGACCATCAGGGCTCAGGACTCTGATGATGCTTTACACACGTTTCCTAGGGATGCCCAGAGCGCTGTCCTGACCACCACTTGCTCCGCATTCCTGAGACAGGCAAGCTTAAATTGGAGGAAGGAGGACCAGGAAAGGGGCCACAGCTGAACCCCACCTTAGCACGTGGCCTGGGGGTATCCAAGAAGCACAGAGCCTGACCCGGGGGGTGACTGAGCTGGGAACAAGGTCACATGGCCTCAGCTGCTGCTCACACACCAGGGCCATGTCCCTCACTCCTCCATGCTCCTGTTCCACCTCAGCGCAGATGGGCTGGGCGCTGGCAGCCCTTGGTGGGGGCCCTGAGCGCCAGTAACCCATCCCTCCCGCCCTCCATGCAGGTTTCTACTCGCTGTCAGTGCGACACAGGCAGGTGAAGCACTACCGCATCTTCCGCCTGCCCAACAACTGGTACTACATCTCGCCCAGGCTCACCTTCCAGTGCCTGGAGGACCTGGTCAACCACTACTCTGGTAAGCCACTACCAGCACGCCTTGGGGCTGCAGGAACCACGCACAGTGCCGTCAGCCTAGAGCAAGGCACCGGGGTCACCAGTGAGAGCCTGAGGAGCTCTCTGCCCACCTGAGTTTTCCATAGTTTAAGGGCAACAAAATCCCACGCTGAAGCAGACAGCCTGTGAGCACCACCTCTGGGAGCAAACAGCACCACATTTCAGGTCCACCCCACTCTCTACAAGTCAAACCACTCAGGACACCCCTCAGTCCATTCACGGCCACGGAAGACTCCTACAAAGAAAGTGGCCAGTGGAATGGGGCTTCTGGGGCTCTGTTCTGAAATGCCACTTGTTCCCCCTTTTCTGCTGGTTGAAAGGTCAACATCAGCCCACCTCTGAAGGAGCCACAGGAGTTGGAGTGAGTCGTCCCTCCTCTGTCCACAGAGTGCCCCAGTTTCTCTCCCTGGTCTACTTAGCCTGTCCTAGTCGGTGCTCCTCAGAGAGCTCCTGGAGATGAGGGAGGGTGTGTAGCCATTCCTGCATCCTTCCTGCACCCAGGAGAGAGGTCGGGATTCCCTATGCTGCCCAGGATGGAGCACCCTCACGATGGCAGATGTAGGGGTGGTTTCCATGGCATGATGTGCATGGTCAGCGGGGAGAAAGGTCACTGAGATCATGGAAACCAGGAGCTGGCACTTTGCCCCATGGACAAGGGAGAAGTTGGAAACAGTTGACTGAATTCCCACACACTAGCTCAGGCACCCCCATGTTTAGACCCTGCTCCCTGGGGGCCGGGCCACTCTGGGCTGGGTATTTGCCTTTTGGAGCCTCATTTTCTTCTGTGTAACTGTGTTCTACCTGCCAGTGGTGAACAGGGAAGGTGATGAGGGCAGGGCTGGCTGCTGACCTCAAGTGCTTCCTGATGGCTGCCACTGTCCACTGGGCAGAAATGCCCCTGTCCCCCCTCCTGACCTGTTGCATCAGACAAGGGAAGTTGTTCTCACTCTGCTGGCGTTTTCCTTCTTTGGTTCAGGATGTCTGACCTTGCACCCGTGGATACCTCGCTAGGATTTGTTAGGATTTGGGGTCTTGGATTGAAGACACCAAGGGAATTTCGAGGAGAAAGGAGCCCTTGGTGCTACCCTGACCTGTGAGAAGCAGCAGGTGACAAAAGAGCAACGAGAAGCAGGTCCAAGCTCAGATTTAGGCTGTGAGCACCTTGGGAGAATGCTGCCCTCTCAGATACCAGGTTCCTGTTCCTAAAAGGCTGTGGAACTGCCCCTGTGCGGAGGATCACATGACTGTTAAACAGTCATTCACATATCATATCCAGCGCAGCCTGATACATGGCAGATATAAGAATGATGACAAATGTGATTTCTGTAATACCCCAAAACCTAGCTGCTAACTAAAAATGAAAGAGGAAGGGAGTCCTGGAAACAGCCCCTTCTTGCTGGGTTTGAGTAAGTCTTGTTTGTGGTATTTGGCTCTTAATAACAATCATTGAGGGGTGTGCAAACCAGAAGTTTTGCATAGACAAGAGCAAACACAATTTGGAGGCTTCCCAGCAGGGTTCTTAGCAACCAAGGCCAGGAGACTGCAAGCCGAGACCCCCACTGGGCTGCAGGGAGGATCTGACCCTAGGGCAAAAGATGCCTGTGGGGTTTCTCTGCCTCTGCAGATAACTGCAGGGGTCCTCTCCCCATGCCCACAACCCTGGGAGCTACACTGTCAGCCTGGCATTCCACACCAGCTCTGACCCTGCCCGGGCACTGACTGCTGTCTGCTTTTGCCCCACAGAGGTGGCCGATGGCCTGTGCTGTGTGCTCACCACACCCTGCCTGGCGCAGAGTATGCCCACCCCTGCAGTACGGGCCCCCAGCTCCCCTGTCATCCTGCGCCAGAAGACCTTCGACTGGAGAAGGGCGTCCAGGTGAGTGTGCACGCCCTCCAGGCCAGGCGCAGTGTGCTGCCTGCCACACAGTGACCCCAGGTGCAGCAGGCAGAGCCCTGAGTGGTGGCAGCACAGAATCCCACAGACTCAGCCTCCAGGGCCACACGGTGCCAGCCTCACCACAGCTTCAGTGCCCTGCTCCACACATGGAGTCCCCACACGCAGGGTTAATCTGCCTTTCCTGCCAGAATACATACCACCTCGGCTCTCCTGTTAGGGTTCTAGAAAGTGAGGCACAGACACATCTGGTGTAAACTTAATGTCATTTAACATCTCTCCACTTAAATAATACCCAGTTCTAGGGCGATTCATCTTTCCTGAGAAAAGAAAAGCTTTGCGCTGATTCATTTTGTTTATTTCACTTGTAGACTCCGGGACTATATCTGTAGCATGTGACGGATGGGTTTTCTTATTCAGTGAACATGGATCCAGGCATCCCATTGGCAAATTCAAAGAAAATCAGATATTAGAATCGCATGGAAGTTGACTAAAACTGCTCACCCTTGTAAATAGCGTAAAGATATATTCATTGAGATTTACAGTTACTTTTAGCCATCTGAGAAAGTAGAGATTCAGAGAGGTTAAGTGATTTGTCCAACATCACAGAGCCCACAGCACCAGAATTAGAACAACACGTTAGAGAAAAACTAACCAGGCTTTTGATTGTTTTTTCTCCTCTTTCTCCCCTTCCTTCTTTCTTTTCTCATTCTTTGTTCCCCCATGCCCATCCCTGTCCATGTCTCTTCCTCCACCCTCTACTCTTCTGACTCACAGACTACAGGAGGATCCTGAGGGAGCAGGGAACCCGCTCGGGGTGGATGAGTCCCTTTTCAGCTACGGCCTTCGGGAAAGCATCGCCTCCTATCTGTCCCTGACCTCGGAGGACCCCAGCCCCTTTGATCGCAAGAAAAAGAGCATCTCCCTGATATACAGCGGGAGCAGACGCAAGAGCTCGCTCTTCTCTGCACCACAGTACTTCGAAGACTAGCTGAGGACTGGCACTGACTTCTGCTCACAGGACAGAGGTCCTGGCTGTCACCTGGGGTCTTCTCTGGTCCCTGGATGCCTCATGCCTTTCAGAAGCCAAGAGAAGCTGCGAGGAGACGCAACTGAAATCTCCTGTACCCACATGACGACCAAAGAACCTCGCTTGGCATCTTAGCAGCACTGTGACATCCTGGCAGGCTAAGCGATAGAGCCATGGGCCAATGTTTGAGAGCCCAACAATGCACACCATGTGTGGCAGGGGAGAGGATATTCTCACAGGAAAGCACTCTCCAGCACAGGGTCCAGACAGCCTGCCACCAGGCCTCAGCTGATTTCTAGCTGAGCTGAACAGGAAGAAAGACCCACAAAGGGGAGGCCCAGAAGGGCAGGGTCTGCAGATGTGGCCCTTCGCGAACCCAGAGCTGCCCTCAATGTTGTATGAAGACTTTTGGGACATAATGCACTGCCTCTCTTTCCAAGGGACCCCCCAACACTACACACTCTAGCTTGAAGGTCTTAGTAGCTGTGCACCAGGAAGAGCCTTTGCTATTCTCGTGTTCCAGCCCCATGTGGGCAGCAGGGCCTTGGGGGAGAGGGAGGCTGCTCGCTCCCTCTGGAGTATATGACTTCTGACTGGCCCCAGGCATGGCCACAGCGCAGAAAGGCGCCTCAGCTGCTGGGAAGCTTGCCTGTGCAAATGCACCCGTTATTTTTTTCCCTCTTGATCTCCAAAAGAAATGCTTTGTGACATCCTGTGTAAGAGTCAGACCAGAAAAAAACAAAAAAAACAAACCCTAGCCCTGAACAGAGAGCACATAGTGGAGACAGGGAAAAATATATATACAGATGACATAAAAGTGAGTAGAAGGTAGAAATCACCACAGCTTAAGAAGGGGTAGGAGATAGGCAAGGTGACCCAGGCTCTATTGGGAGTGTAGGATCACGTAGGGAAATGGATGAGTTCTAAAGAACTGATTTAGTTCGTATGTGATTCTAAGAAGAGTCTGGCATATGTGGGAATGAGAGATGCCAAGCTCCAGGGAAAAGGGGCCCCCTTTGTGGCTGAATCTTGCTGAGTGTTTGTGTAATTGTAAGAGATGAGTGGTGAATGCGGGGCGGGGGAAGCATTGGTCCAGGTTGGGGAGGGAGTGGCTGCAGGGAACCAGGGCTCACAGCTCCTGCTCCTGAGGGCTGGGGAGGAGGCATGTGGGTAGGTTATACCGCATCTGCTGGCCCCACCCAAGCCTGGCCCTGCCTCGGTGTCTACAGTGTCGCGTGCCCTCAGGCTCCAGGCTGTTTACACAAGGAGCCCTGTGTTTTCGGTAATAACCCTGAGATTTAGGAAGCTTCAAAAGGACCAGTGTGTGAGGAAGGACAACAGCAGGACAGCGGCGCCCACCGGTCGGGTACCTCTGGGCTCTGACATCTGCCCGGCACCCTCTGCATTGTTTTCTGTATGACCACTGTGACTGGAGCCTCTGGAGAGCACTAGGTGGTGTGGAGGGGGGGTTGTAAGGGGGAAGCATTACACTTCTTCGCTCAATCATGTATTTATTCCTGATTAATGTAAGCCTAATAAATATTTAACCCTGGGCATGGGGGAGCCTCTGGACTAAGGCAAATGGAAGCTTCTTCCTGAGGCATTGTGGGTTTGGGACTTTTAAGGGAGCAAGCAAAGGCAGGGACTGCACAGCTAGTGGCTTGGTGGCCCACTGAGTCTTAAGCGAGTGTGTCTTGTGCCTTCTCACAACTGGAAGGCAGGGTGGGGGCTGAAGGACCAGCTTCTTAGCCACCATTAAGCAAACTCTACATCTGCACGTTTCTTGTGCTGTCTGTGCTTCCAAGAATCCCTTCCTGTGAGCTTTCTGAGATATCTGCAGGCTACATGGTGCTCTGGGCACCAGGCTGGAGCCCTGGAAACCAGATGGGGCCTCTGAGATTATAGTGCTTGGGGCCACAAACAGTGGGACACATTGCCACCACAGGGAGTGACAAGTGCAGAAATGGGCAGGTGCCATGTAGCCCTAGACGGGTGAGGGACTCCAGACAGATGCTGAGGAAAAGCCAAAAAGAGGAGCAGCACACAGTCCGAGGAGGTGTAGGAAGCCAGCAGAGGCGGTGAGGACGTAGGTCAGTTTCTGCAGGCACAGAGGGCAGGGCAGGGCAGCAGGCCTGGCAGGAATAGGAGGCTTCCCTCAGGAGGGAGGCCAGGCAGTGCACACAGGGCCATGGAAGGGAGTGGCTTCGGAGCTGCTCTGGGAGGCACAGGGAGCACTGGAGGATCTAAGTTGAGGGCTGGTGACACCTCATTCGGAAGTGTGAGAAGGCACCTGGCTGCTGAGTAGAGGATGCATTTTTAAAATTCAGGCCTTGGATCACCTACTTGACACACACCTAAAACAAAAGGATGCAAGGAGTGTGGAAAAAATTTCATATAAAAAAATGAACCAAAGGAGAATTTGCACTGCCTATTGAAGCACAGTGCAATTTCAGATGAAAATAAATTCTCGAAGGGCAGCAAGAAACGCCGCACAGTGGTCTGCTGAGGAGGTAGGATGTTTGCAGCCTGAGCTCATCAAATGAGGCAGTCCCAGAATACTTTGTGCCACTGTTACAGGGACAAACGGATAAATCAGTAACTTCCTGTGGAGATTTTAGTATAGAACTCCCAGAAACTGCTAAACAGGGATAAAAATAAAGAGAGGGCTATAGATTTTTTTTTTTTGTATCAGGGATCGAACTCGGGACCTTGCCCTTGCGAGCCAGGCACGATGCCACTGAGCTAAATCCCCAGCCAAGTGGTCTAGAGATTTTAATAACATTACATAAGTTTTCTGCCAGTAAACGAGAGCCCATCTGGTCACAAAGGGAGCTGCCATACACGTCAAGGGGTCACAGACTCGGACGCTGCCCCAGGATCATAAAGCAACACAAAGAGCAAAACAATGAATAAAAGTTCAATGAATCTAGATTATTTGACAACATTCTTCCAATTAAGAAAACAGTGTAGGAATAATAATACACTTAGAAATACACAACATATTTTTACTGGAGCTGATAAAAATAGTTGAATTTTATTGCCTGAAATGCAGCACATTGATCAGCAGAGCAGGAGAACTGGTAATGAGGTCAGCTTCCAACTGGAGAGCCAAGAGGACATCCCAGAAGTGAGGAGACAGAAGAAAGTAGACATGGTGACAAAGATTTAGAGTTTTTAATACACACCATAGAGCAGATTTAAAAACCCAAATATTGTTTAAGCGGTGAGATTAATGTGACAGCTAAAGACATGAACAGTATGGTGATGAAAGAAAGGAGAGGGCTGGGGATTTAGCTCAGTGGTGCTGCTGACTGCCTTGCAAGTGCTATGTCCTGAGTTCAATACCCAGTACCAAAAAAGAAAGAAAGAAAAAGAGAAAGCAAACCGAAGGCAGCCCTGCTAGTAGAGAGATCTGTGAGACAGTGTGGGCCCTGCAGCGGCCCCAGGACTGCCGGGGTGGCCTCCCTCCCTGCCTGTCCCCTCCCTGCTGTCTGGACTCCTCCCATGTGGCAGCCCAGGCTCAGCCCTGTGGATGGGGCCAAGGGCCTAAGTGCTGTCATATTAAAGCCTAGAAGAAACCAGGGCCCTGGCTGAGAGGAGACATCTGGATTGCTCGCCTGGAGAAATGCTATGAGACAGCCAAAGAATAAGAGAGAAAGAAGCTCTTCGACTTCTGAAGTTGCTCGGTGCTGGGTCCCCTGTTTGCAGCAGTTGGGCATTTTGCTCCAGTGGGTACAGAAATAAACGTGCCATCACCTACAGAGCCAAGGTCACAGCAAACCCGAAGAAACAACCAGTGTAGCATTGGATGTGTTCAGGGCCCTAACTCAGTGAGCTCCCACATTGACAGATTCCTGCCCACCAGCATCACACTAGAATACACCAGAGAAGATGACACCGTGCACAATTCCAGCCAGACTATGACGCGTGGGTGTGTGGAGGGGTGGTCTGATTCACAACCACGAAACAAAACTTTCATGGAAAAACACTCAAGAGACCTTGTGAAAAGGCCTATAGAAGTAAAAATACTCTGCTCATGGCTCTGCTGTTAACCTCATTCATGGGGACAAGACTGCACACCACAGAAGTATACATCTGAAATTAACAGATAAATTCTATGAGACAATGCTCAGATTCCCACAAGGAATACCGAAACAAAATGAACCGCAATAAACATTCTAAAAGACCTATGGGAGCAGCAAGCCCATGGCTAGTTGGACCACCCTGAACAAGGCCAGCCCAAGGGAGACAGCAGACAGATCACCAAATCCCACCACTCCCACCTTGGAGCTCAGCCCTGCTGCTGGCCCTAGGAGCTTCCCCGGGAGGGAGCTTTACACAGTGATAAGGAAGTGCTAAGACAGTTACACTCTAGTAAGGGTCCCGCTCCCAGGCGCAGCAGAACTGGAACTAGCTATGTTGGAGAAATAACAAATGGACAATAGGGCAGAATTCCTAAAAACCTTCTACACAGAAGTCCACTCCTCATGCTGCTTTGACAGCCAGGGAAAAGCTTGGACACCTAGTTTTTGTTGAACCCTGAAAGACGGAGTGACCACAGAGGTGGCACTGGACATGCAGAGCACAAGACAGGCAGAAAGGCGTGGAGGAGGCGTGGATTTCCTAGGCGTGGAGTTAGCCAAGGTGTCCCTGGGGCGCCTGTGGGAGTAGCACAGAAAGGCTGTGGCAATGTTGTAGGACACAGTGGAATCACTGTCTGGACCCCAGGAATCACGCCACAGAGTGCCCGCCTGCCTGCCTCTGTCTTCTCCTGAGCTCAAGAGAAGCTTATAGCACAGAATCCCAGGTTACATGTTCTCAGCAAGTCACCTTGCCTTCTCCCGCCACCTGGCCCCAGGGCAGGTGAGATATTCTGGGACTTGTTCCCCAGGCCGCTTTGTGAACCTTATGGTACTATAGCATCAGCAGACCTCAGGAGACAGACTTAATTATACTGAAGTTATATTACGGCAAAGTGAAGGATGTGCTCAAAGCCTAGGATCTTCACGCAGGCCAAGCTGATCCTAATTTTACACTCATTCTTTTTCAACTTAAGACCTGAGAAGAACCTCAAATTCCCAAAGAAGATGATTCAGAGAATGGGAAAGAGCAGGATTTAGCTTCAGGGTTTTTATTGTGTGTTCTTTGACAGGTCACTTAACTTCTCTGAGTCTCAAAAGTCATAACACTAGACTGAAACCCCTGCCAGTCACTAGGAGTGATCTAAGATGCTGAAAGTGTTTTTGTGGCCTCCAAAGTTGTAATGAATTTAAGCTATCAATTATCTCCAGAAGCATTTCTCTTGACTAATGTTTCACCAGTTCTAACCCCCATTTTTGCAGGCACTTGAGATTTTAGCCAACAAAATTTTATCAATTTGCATTTATTCCCCAAACATTTGTCAGTAAGGAACATATTTAAGAAATGCTAATACATCAAAGTATTTTAGTGCTCTCTATTCCAAATAATTTCACATGCATCCTGAGGACTTCAGGGAGCCATTGTAAAAGCTGCTTCCAAGTGAGTAAAACAGACGGAGGGTTTATTTTTAAATACACTGCCATTTGTTAAAACAGATTCCTTTCTGAAATTCCCCAGACACTTAAATCCTCCAAAAGAAAACCTGCCTTCTGAAGAGCCTGTTGGAAGGTATGCAGGCGTCTTCAGGGTCCTAGCGAGCAGGTGACTGCTGATCAGATGCTGGAGAAACCGTCCAGGATCAGCTGTCCAGGATCAGCTTCGGGCAGGAAGGTCTGCCTGTAACACCAGCCACTAGAAGATGCATGGGCTCAGACCTCCAGCCTTTGCATGAATCAGCTTCCGAAGGACAAGGGATACAAATCAGAGTCAAAGGATAAGAAAGGGGTGGCTTACAAGAAGGGGTCTAGGCTGGCCTGTGGGCCCAGGGCTCTCTGGAACAGCATCAGGACATCTGACTATCACCTTCTTACTCACTGACCCTGGGCACTGACTGCGGAGCAGCCTCTCCTTATTGCAAGGTTTGTGGTGTGGGTGCCCAGGGCCCCATGGAGAGCAAGGCACACTGGTCGCTGCCATCCTGGGGATTGGTCCTGTGAGGGAGGCCAACTCGACACTAAGAGAAACATCACAAGGAATGCGACACAAGAGAGGTTTGGACAGCATGAGTCAATAAAAGGTCCAACTCCAGGTTGGAAAGTCTATTTTCCTAAATGACAAGCAGACAGGTGAAGAGCAAGACAGGAAAAAGGCAGACCGTGCCAAGGTAACTGCTTGTGTGAGGAAGTGCACACAATGAATCCAGAGCTCCCGGGCTGAAGGAGGCAGGGTGGCAGGTGGCTCTGCTTCCTGCTGGGAGTGGAGACAGTGCTAATCTATCATCAGCTATGGCTAAACAGTGACCCTTCATCTTTCCTCCTCATAACAACGGCTCTGGGTCCCAGGGAAGTCACGAGGTGGGGTGTGGTGGCATGGCCAGAGAACTGCTAGCAGGTCACTGAGGGAGTTGATCTCAATGGTCCCCTTTGTCTCCTTCTTTTGGAATACTGTCTGACCTCCCCACAGCTTTCTCCGCCTCCAATTTTGCCCCTTTGAAAATCATTCTCCACCCAGCTCACAGGGAGGTTTTCAAAAGAGCAGCTCCAGGCACTTTTCCTCACTTGCTTCAAAAGCCTTTGGTGATGCACTCAAGTTCAGAGCAGCATTATTCACAACAGCAGCCAGGAGAGTGGTAGTGGGGCATCCAGGACCCCAGCTATTAGCAGATAAATAATAGATAAATAGGACGTAGTCTATCCACACAGTGGAGTACTCTTCAGCCTTAAAATGGAAGGAAATTCTGTAACATGCCACACTCTGGAAGAACCCTGAAGACATTCTGCTAAGGAAAAGAAGCCAGACACAAAGGGGTAATCTTGTAGGATTCTGCTAATGTGAGGTACCTAGAACTGGCAAATTCATAGAGTCAGAAAGTGGTACAGAATTTTCCAGAGGCTAAGGGGCTAAGCAGAATGAAAGATAATATTCAACAGCTTCAGAGTTTCTGTTTGGGATGAGGAAAAATGTCCGGGAAACGGATAGTGGTGATGGTTGCACTACATGGGAAATGTAGAGTCTTAAAAAGGAATAAAATCATACATTGAAACAAACAGATAAACAAAACCCTTTGATAGCTTCTCATCCCTTGGGATGAAACCCAAGCTTCTTGGGGCACCCTGGCTCCCCTCTCCTGACACCACTGCCCATGAGGCTCCACCCCCCACTTACTCCCTGTTGCCAGCACCCTGCCTGCAGGTAACATCCACATAGCCTGCAGCACTGAGCTCAGATGGTCCCTTACCAGGAATCTTCCTCCACACTTCCTTCCCCTGAGGCCTTCTCTTGGAGCTGCCCTAAGACGCTCCTTTAAATGCAGTATCTGCTTCAGAGTTGATATCCCCGCCCCAGTGACTACAAGCCTCCTGTGAACTGGGTGTGCATTATTTACTCTGGAATTTCCAGCGTCTGACAAGCACCCCTGACAAATCAATGCTCAGAGAAGTTGAAAGCTAGTCAGTAACAGAACCACAGATGTTAGGGCTTATGCTCAGCCAACCAAGCCATGTCTGGGGTCACAATTGTTGGTGTCATCAACATCATGGCATCATCACCACCATCATCAGCACCATCACCACCTTATCATCATCCAGCGGGCACTTCTAGCCATCCGGTAGAATCCCGATTCACACGTTCTGTTCCTGGCCTTCATTCACTGACAAGTCCATCTGACCCTAGAGAGGCTCTCCCAGGAGATAGGACACTTTGCCATCTAGCATTTCTAGCACTTTGCACATGAGTAAAGAGCACTCAGAAGAGCCCTTCAGGGTCCTGCAATCACCAGGATCTGGAAAGATGGCCACAGGAGGAACCGCACTCACCCCAAAGGCTGAGAGAAGAGCAAGCAGCTGAAACCAACTGGTCTCCCAAGGCAGGGAGAGCCTTCAGGGCAGGACGATGGCAGGGCGCTCTACTCACCATCAGCAGGGCTCTCCGGAAGAGCCTGGGGCTGCTGGTCCTGGCCATAAGAAGGTGGATGCTGGCCACATCAGCCCCCTCACGGTCTGCTGCCAGGGACACGCGCTGAGGGTCCCCACCAAATGCTCCAATGTGAGTCTGCACCCAGGTCAGAGCTGCCACCTGATCCAGCAGTCCCCAGTTGCCAGGCACCTCACTGGACCCTGGAGAAAAGCGGAATGTTTTACCTTCTTTGATTTTGAAACTTTAACTTTACCGATCACAGTGCTGCCTATGCCAGGCATGGGGCTCCTCCATGGGCTCTGGGTGCTTGTTCCCTGGGTTGGGACAGCGGGCTCCACAAACACTGGGGGAAACCGGAAGGGCCAGGGGCTTTGGAATCAGACACAGCCTGGCTGGCACTCTCACTCTAGGCTTTGTTAGCTGCTGTAGGAGCCCTTATACCAGTCGTCCCCTCAGAGCCCCACAGCTTCCCCATTTGTGATGGGCGAGGGCCACTGCTAGGCTGCTGCTTAGGTCAGCAGGACTCTGTGCTGAGCTTCCCACCCAGCGGGCCCAGCCCGAGGGCAGGACGTGGTCCCACCCAGTCTCTGATCTTGCAGTTAGCTCTCTCCTGAGTCAGTGGGGCCAGGGTGGGGTGTGACCCTGGCCTCATCCTGGGGGCCTTGAAGATCTATCTGTTTCGTTTTTTGTAGAATTAACGACTATCTGTTGAAGAGCCTGTACTTATTTAACCATTTAGGCACAATGCAGTTATTTAGATGCAGAATGTAACTTTTCATATTTAGAATATAATTATTATATACCTCAAACATACTAATGCACTGATAAAAAAAACTAAAAATTAAAAACCCCTGAAACTTTATATCTATTAAACAATAAGCCCCTTTCAAACTGCCTCTGTCTCTGGCAACTACCCTTCTACTTTCTGTCCCTACAAATTTGACCATTCTAGGTCCTCATATAAGTGGAGCTATACGGGTATGTGGGGGGGCTTATTTAATTCTTATGATGTCCTCAAGTTTTATAACAGTACATGGTAGCACGCGTCCAAGTTTTCTTCCTTTTTAAGGCTGAATAATTTTCCATGTACGCACATGACACATTTTATTTATCTAGTCAGGCTCTGATGAACAGTGGCTGGCTTCCCAGCTACTGGCTGCTGGAAGATAAATAATGCAATGAATAATGGGGCCATGCCCGTAAGTCTACACAGTTTCCTTATCTTTGGGGGGCATTTTATTTTATTTCATTATAGAATGGCCAAAATGTTACTCAAAATACAAATCGTAGAGACAAAAGAAATGGATGATAGCCAAAAACTTTCTTTCCAATGAACTAAGAAAAAACAGTAGTATAAGTGCAACAAATTAACACATATATTGCAATATTTTTGAGACAACTGAGTAGAGAATTTGGGGTACTTTTTTCAATTTCTCTCTATTATTTTTTCTCTTTATACAGCACATGTATGTGTTTTGAGCTTATATAAGAGAAACCATGCAGTATTTAGCTTGTGTGTTCAACTTACTTCACTGAACACTATGTTATGTTCTCAAGGTGCATCCATTTGCCTACAAATGCCTCACATTTATCCTTCTTTTTGGCACAGTCGTACTCCATTGAGTGTAAATATCGCATTTTCTTTATCCCATCATCTGTTGATGGACATACATGCAGTTTCCAAGATGTATTACAAATTTGGCTGCTATAAACATGGGTGTGCATGCATATATTCCTGGAATATGATGGCTTTAACACTTTGGGGAAGATACCTACAGGGGGAATAGCTAAGTCAAGCGGAATTTCTGTCCTCAGTTCTTTTAGAAATCTCCCCACTGATATCTATAGTAGTTGTGCTAGTTTACATTGTTCGCAACAACGCAGAAGGGTTCCATTTTCCTACAGCCTTGCCAGCATTTATTATTTTTAGGATTTTTGATGATAGCCGTTCTTTCTAGGGTAAGATAGTATCTCAGCATAGTTTTAATCTGTGTTTCTCTTATAGCCAGTGTTGAATTTTTTTGTTTATTTATTGGTCATCTTTACTGCTTCTGAGAAGTGTCTCTTCATTTCAGTTGTTTATTTTTTGATTGGCTCTTTTATCTTGGGGAGGTCTAATTATTATTATTATTATTTTTTTAGTTCTTTATATTCTAGATGTCTAGGCCCATGTATCTCCAGACTAAAGTAAAAATGGATCAAATATTTAAATGTACTAAAATAAAATAAAAATGGAAAAAATGAAACAATGGAAAATAAAATAAAAATTTAAAAAATCTGCTGAAAGATGAAATAGGTAAAACTCTTAAAGACATGGGCATAGGCAAGGACTTTTTTTGGCGGGTAAGGACTTTCTGAACAGAGAACTCCAACGGCACAAGAAATAACACCAAGAATCAACAAGTGAGACCTTATCAAATTAAAAACCTTTTGCACATCAAAGGAAATAATCAACAGAGTGAAGAGACAACCTACAAAATGGGAGAGGAAAAAATGCCAGCTGTTCCTCAGACAGAGGACTAACACCTGGTTTACTTATCTTTAGAGACAAAAGTAACACTTATCTCATGGGGAGTTTGTACAGAGGTAAATTAGCTAATAAGAGTTTAACACAGAAAGCTACATGAGACAACCACTGAATGGATTTCAGTTATTTTTATTGCATCTAAGTGGGAAGGCTAGAAATAGGCCTGGGTAGGAAAAACACAGCGATTGCATGTGGTCCCAGTGCACTGGAATGTAAGACTACTGATCATCCAAAAAAGGAAAGAAATGATAAAAAAGATAGTGAAAACAGGTGCTTCTCCGTGGCTTTCTGGGACTTTCAGTGCCACCACTTCCTGAACATACTGTGAATTAAGTGCATCCTCCCTGTCAGTCTTCTCCATGAGTTTGTTCTCCATCAGACTCTGGCACCCCAGGCCTCACCCTGGCCTCCTTACTTCTTCTTTCCTGACTCTGCTCTAGAGAGCCCTTCAGAGCCCATGGCTCCCCCACCACCACGACATGCAGGTGACTCTCGGCTATAGGGCAGCACCCAGGACACTCCCTAAGATCCAGACCCCTCAGAGGTCTGCAAGTCACCAGTCAGGATGCACAGGTTGCAGCTAATTGAGCAGGAAACTATTGACAAGTCTCCATATGACAGAAAAAGACAGAAAACCCTTGCATGGTAATTGCCCAACCCCATATTCACAAAGCTGAAGAGAACAGCAGCTCAGAGTTTCTAACAGTACAAATCACTCTTCCATCTGGAGGGATTCAGAATTTCTGCAAATGGTTTTCATGTTCTGGGTCTGGTGAAGCCACTAACTTGACACAATCCTCACCATGAGTTTTCTGCATGGTCCCTGTGCTCCGTTTGTCAGGGTGAAAATGTTTGCTTCCTCCAAGGTCTCAGGCAGCTCATGAGAGCAAGTTACTAACTGAGTAAGACCAACTGCTGCAATCTGGAAAGGGACATTCATGGCTGCAGTGCTAGTAATGAGGGCAAGTAGGGAAGGTCCCTGACTTTCCTGTATGTCAGCTTCCCACTGTGCTACAAGAGGGTGCTGATGACGCTCTGAGATTCACTGCCTCATGGAAGGTCAGAGTGAGTTGCTAAAGAGGACACCTGTCTCCCAAGGATAAAAGGGGCTTGCTGTGGAGCCAGGCGTTGCTGAGAGCTGGAGACAGGATCCCAACCACAGGGCACATGGCCTGGCTGCACACTGGAAGCAAGGAATCACCAATAGTGGCAGCCCTTGCCTTCACTGCTGAAGATACAGAACCTTGTGAGTGAAAGACTTTGTTTAGACCCATGTTCTAAAGTATAGGTTCAAACACACACACACACACACACTCCTTATGCTCCAGTTTCCAGTTCTACACACACCTGGGCAGGACCAGGGGTCTTACTGGACTGGAAAGGAGCTGTGGCCCATTAGGAAAACAGGTATGAACAGGAGGCTTCTGGACATTGTGTGACCCATACCATCACCATCCTGGGTCTCCATCTGCCCCGCTTGTCCTGTGTCTCCCAGTTCCTACAGGTCTAGGTGGAACCACCCAGCAAGCAGACCCTGTTCCCTCACTGCCTGGCTGGCACATTTTCAGCAACTGACAAAAGCTCCTTAGCAGGACCCAGTCTTGCCAATAGGCATCATAAAAAGGCTGTGAGACCCAGCGCTGGTGACAGTCCTGGCTTCGCTGGTCATTAGATGTAAGGCCCTGGGCAGGCTACACAGCAGCAGTGTGCTAATTCTCTCCCTCTGTAAAAGGTGGGTAAGAATAGTGACTGCCTCCTTTGCTCATTCTGATGATTAAATTAGTTAATGTTTAGGAAGGCAAAAGAATTGTGCCTGGCCTGAGGCATTATAAAGGATTTAAAGGAAGAGTTCGGGTCCCAGCATCATCTCCCCAAAGCCTGTCTTGTCTGTGGTAGCGGAAACAGCCCCTGGGAAGGGTGCCTTTGGGGCCAGACTGCCTGTTTTGCTAGTTAGAGAGGACGGCAGACCCTCTCGGGAGGCCCTGCCTGCCAAGCAGCAGTGAGGTCATGGCAACGTGTGGTTACTGGAGGCGGCCCAGCATTCTGTCTGGCTCCCCTGCCAGAGCACACTTCCTCTGGCCCCGCATCGCATGGAAGGCTAGCGGGCCTGCTGTGCCTCTCTCCTCCTCTGTGCCTGCATCCACTCACCACTCCAGAGCCCCTCACAGTTGCACTGTGGCCAAGCACCCCCGGCGCAGCCCCATCTGCAGGACTGGGCTGAGGCAATGGCCTCCTCCAGCCCACCTCCAGCATCTCACTTCCTCCCTGACTTCTCCTCTCCACAGGAAGCAAGCCCAGCTTTTACCCTGGATCTGGCGCATCTGTCTTCCACAGATCGTGCGAGTCAGTCTCATTGGCCTCTTCCCTGGCAGGTCCTTTGCTTTTCGTCTCTCATGTGTACCTTCTGACATGCACCTCTTTCGCTATCACAGGACCACTTTTGCTCTGGGCCACAGCCACAGATGCTGTGTACGTTTCCAGGTGGGCTGATGACACGGGCCCCTGCCCACCTGACTCGAGGTCAGGAGCCACTGTTGAGATGAGCTGGAAGCTCTATGTTGGCCACAGCCAGATGCTGGGTGGCAAAGGACAAAGCCCAGCCCTGCCTGGGAAGAGCCCCTGCTTGTCTAGGGACAGAAGGAGAGTGAGCTAACATGTTGGGACACCAGTGCCAGGCAAGTCCCAGGGCTGGCCTTTCAGGGGCTGTCTCAGGGGAGCCACCCACAAGTCCTAGCATCCTGCCCTCATGGGTAGCAGCCTACCATGGGTCCCAGAGGGAAGGACAAGGATGTGCCAGAGCATTGGCCCCATAGAGGCACTCCAGGACCCTGTCCCACTTAAAGGCAAGGCGTGCACTCTGCCAGATGCTTCGGAGGCACCCAAAGTGGACCAGCAATTTTCCAGACCTGTGCTCTAAACTACGGTTCGATTACTTACAGTGAAAAGAGTGGGGGTGAATGGATAGAGCATAAGGAAGCTGTAGGATACTAAAGCTACTCTGCAGGAGACTGTAGTAGTAAGTACACAGCATTACACAGTGCCCTTTAGTGAATAATCATGTATCATTATTGTCTGTCACTTGTAAGTCATGTGCCATAAAAAAGAAGGTGTAAATAATAGAGGAAACAAAGGGCTGGGCGAAAAAGATACAGGAACACTCATGCTCAGTTTCTCTGTACATTTTTTAAACTACTCTAAATAATAAAACCTGTGATTTCCTTGAGGGAAAAGCAAATTTTGCCTACTTCTTTCTCCTTCCATCAGAAGGCTGTCCTCTAGCCAGTGGGCAGCCACTTCCTGTCCACATCCGGAGCTTGTCACAGACTGCCTGCACCCAGCCAGAGTCCACCTGTGATAGAGGCTTCCATATGTCTCGGCTCTGGGGCTCTGCACTGCCATGGTCTCGTCGTTGGACCTTAGTTTGCCAAGTGGCTGAGGAAGACACTGAGATCTTTGTTCCCATGTGAAGGGCAGGGCAGCAGGCTGTCGGACACGGAGAGGCTCAGGACAGGGGATGAGCTAGGAGGGCCAGTGAATAAGCAAAGCCCAGAAAGTGGGGCTAAATAAAGGCAAAGGACAGATCCAAAGGCAACAGAATCCAGAGAGCGGTTCTGGATTCGAGGGGAAGCTGCAGTGCATGTCTCTTGCTGCTGGTGTGTGACTGACAGAGGTTCAAGCTCCATTTGCCACCTCTGATTTACCAAAGCTCCTTCACCTCTCTGAGCCTCACTGTTTCCTCCACAACAGGGCCCAAGGCACTGCCATAAGACCTAAGCAAGGCAATCCCAGCAAAATACCTGGCCAGGAGAGGTGCTCCAGGGCTGGAACTTTCCCTCTCTCTTGCTGATAGTTTTTCTCAGAGCAAAACAAACAGGCGGTGTCAGTGCAATGAGAGGGAATGAGAACAGTTGGAAGTTCTGGAGGCTTCTATTGCTCCCACAGGCTGCCCACGATGGCGGCCAAAACAAGTCTGCTGCTCCAGAAGAAAAGGAGTTCTCACCAAGACTGCAGTCTGGAAATCATAATCCCCACTTCCTCGGGGGCAGATGACATATGGAAACCCATCCTCTTCAGTCTGGAAATGCTCTGAGCTCAGCAGCCATGTCTAGGGAAAATTCCCTGGGACCAACTTCAACTTGCAGGGCTCTGGATGTCACCTGCCCCAGCAGGGACAGGGGCTGCTGGCCAGCATACCCTTGTCAGACTTGGGTAAGCATTGAGGACCGAAAGCCCAGCTTGGGGTGAGGGCAAGTCCTCTTCAAAGAAGAAAATAAAATCTCATGTGAGACATTCCTTTGCTCCCCCAAGTCTTAGAGGAAAACCTCATTTACCATATTTGTTCCTCACCCACCATGCAGCATCAGACAGAAAAACCCAAGACAAAAGAAGACATGTATGGCTACCAGCTCCCAGCCGCCTCTGCTCCCCCCATGAATTCACATCTGCCTTTCATCCGGGTCTCTCCCACTGGCATTGGAATGTGCTCTGCCTTAACTTGCTGCCTATTTCATAGGCTAAGATTCTTCTTGTTTACTGTCCAACCTAGAGTTTTCTTTAGGGCCCTCGAGGTCTTGTGCCACTGATCCACCCAGGCCTCTTCCTTGGCACCCTGGACTTCTGCTCGTTCTGGGTGTTCCGCTCACCCAAGCCCTCTAGTCCTGTACAGCTTGCCAGTCCCTCTCCCTCCCAGCTGCTTATCTGTGCTGAGCTCATTCAGACACCCCGGGAAATGGAGTGGACTCTCAGCCCCTGGCCTGGATGACTTGGAAACACTTTCACAGTCGCCAAATCCCTCTCACACATATCCTCTCACTTGAGACTCTCAGTAACTCCAAAACGACTCCCATTTTAGGGGGAAAATGAACGTTGCAAGGAGGGAAGCATTTGGTACAAGATCACACAGCCAGTGCCAGGCAGAGTGGGCCCTGGGCTCTTTTGATTCCAAGCAAAATGTTCTCAACTCCCCATTCCCAGTGACCCCCTAAGGGGAAGAAGACACACGTGGGTGAGGGTGCTTGTGATGCAAACTGAACCCTAGCAGGCAGTGAGGAGGATGGAGAGCGCAGCCTGGATCTTGAACCAGTTTAGGGGTCTAGAAATCAAGGAAGATGGAGTTACTACTGGCCCATCCCTCACCCTGTTGCAGGACTGTAGGCCACTCCTCAGCACTGGCCAGCGAGAGGCGGGTCTGGGTGAAGTCTGGCTCTGATCTACCAACCTTATGACTTTGTGTCCCTCCTTAGGCTTTAATTTTCTCTTCTAAACACACACACACACACACACACACACACACACACACACTGTGTGCTTGGACCAGTTTAAGACAATAAATTTTCATTAATGGGCATCTGTGCTGCACCACAGGAGGGACCTGTAAACATGCCAGAATTTCTACTGTATGCCAAGCAGGCCATAGGAGATGCCCAAGCAGCAAGGTTCTGAGGCTGTGAGAAGAAATGGGAGACACAGACAGAGGCAGCCTCAGCTGGGCAGCCAGCAGCCCTACTGCTCTAGTTATTGTTGAATGTTCCCCAAAGGTTTGGGGGCTAAAGGCTTTGTCTCTGGTAGACCCCTACTCTTCTCTTTCACTTCCTGGTCATGAGGTGAGCATCATACTCTGCTTCTTGTTGCTATAGCAATTTGCTGCCTTGCCATGGGGCCAACCCATCATAGACCAGAATCCCCAAAACCATGAGCCAAAATAAACTTTTCCTCTTTATAAGCAAATAATCTCAGGTGCTTTGTGATAGTAACGGAAAGCTGACACACATCCACTGATGCCAGCAACTCACCAGAACTCAGGAAGCCGAAGACACCCGCTCGATAGTTGGCAGTGACCACAATAAGGTTACCAACAGAAGCCAGAAAGGAGCCATCAACTGTCAGCTGTCCTTTGGTGACTTCCGCCTCCCCATTGTTGTGGAAGAACACCAGTACTGATGTGTTGGGTGCCTGCAGGGATAGGAAAAGGGAAGGTGTACTTGAGCCTGGCCTGCTTTCCCTGCAGAAGCTTGGGGAGGGGGACTATCCAAGCCAGGCCCCACGCTGTGCATCTACTCAGCATCTGTTCTTAACCTTGCCCTGGAGAGCACTTCCCTATTCAGTGGCCTGGGTTTGTCCCCCAATCCCTTTCACACACTGGAGCTCTAACTCCTGGCACCTTGGAGGGACTGCATCTGGAGACAGAGACTTAAAGAGATGATCAACCTAAAATGTGGTCCCATGTGTGGGCCCCAGTCCCATTGGCTGGTGTCCTTATAAGAAGAGGGCATTTGGGTCCGACACAGAGAGGAAACCAGGGGAAGACAATCATTTGCAAGCCAAGGAGAGGCCTCAGAAGGAGCCAGCCCTGTGAAACCTTGGCCTTGGCCTTCCAGCCTCCAGAAGGATGAGGCAGTAAATCTTGTGGGTGAAGGCACCCAGCCTGCAGGACTTACAAACTAGTGAGCCCCAGTACACAGATAAGGAAACTGAGGTTCATAGAAAGCAAGGCACTATGTGCATGCTGCAGTACATATGGCACCACACCAGCACCCAGGGCTGGCCTTCTTCTATCACTCTGGGGCCTCAGTGATACCTGGAGGTTAGCTACCCTCTGCTGAGTTCCCACCTTGGCTTATCCAGCAACTACAAAGGGTTGGCACTGTTCTGTTTACGTGTGTTAGCATCCATTCCTCACATAGTTCGATGCAGTTGGCACATGCTTATCATCGTCATTTCTCACAGACGAGAGTGCAGAGACTTAGAGTTGTTGAATGGCTCATCAGAGCTCACGCAGACAGGAAGTGGGGGCCTGGGTTTTGAACCCAAGCTAACCCTTTTGTCTTAGAATGGTGAGTGGCATCTGGGGGATCTGATGCCCACCCTGAGCCACGGTGCATTTGTGCAGCCCTGGTGCCTGGTGTTGCATCCAGGGTCCCACCTCCACGAGCTGCAACTTCTCTGCTCCAGGCACAATGGGTGTGGCACACACAGGCCTCTACCCAGACTTCTTGCCATGGCTGACCTCACCTCAGCCCTCCTTCCATGGAGCTGTGCTAAGCCCCTGCACCTAGAAGTCAGCCAGCTCTTCCACCCAGGGGACAGCTGCCACCATGGCTATAAGCACCCTCACTGTACAGATGAAAAGCAAAGCTCAGAGTGTGGAGGTAGCCATTAAGATACCCATTGTGAAAGGGTTGACCTAGGGCCCAGCTCTGACCTGTCTCCTCATGCTCTCCCCAGCGCATCCCTTGGTGATGCTCTAGCTAAAATGTCTCCATGGGCACAACTGTGGATTCTTCAAAGACAAGACCTTTTTAAGACCTTGGGAAAGGCCAGTTAGGGAGGTCTGGTTTCTTTGGCTGGGGGTCTTCGCACAGGTCAGGAACAGGTGCTGGTCCCCTAAAGGCTCTGAGTGATTTTACCATGTTGCATCATGCCAGCAGGAGAGGAGGATGTGGGCCATTGTCAGCCCTGTTGATAACTCAGAGACAAGAACAGAGGGGCCAGGCTCAGCCACTGCCTCCCAGGACAGAGAGCAAGTGTCGGGACTCAGGGCTCCCTGAAGGGCGTGTCGCTCGAGGTGTGGTCCCTGCTGCCCTTGCTCTGCTCCAAGGCCAAGCTGGGGCCGTGACAGAAGGGCAAAGCTCTCATCACCTGGGAACCTTCCTCAAGGAAGAGGCCCTGGATCTGGAGTCAGACACAGAGCCAAACTTGCCCTTTGCCAGCAGGGTCCCTTTAAGTTACTTCGCTCTCTGCCTTACTGTCCGCACCTTTACAATGGAGGGAAATCTGTCTGTCTGTATTTCACCAGTTTCCATCCATCTGTCCCTTCCTGGTCAACACACACATGGCTGGCCCGGCACAGGGCCCCTATCCGTGCCTGCATGGCATGACTTACTTCTCACGGATGCTATTTCTCTTTCCCCTCTCAGACAAAGTAGCTAGGGCACACAAATTTGAGTTACCTCTTCCAGGACAATGGGGGGCAGCAAGTGGCAGGGCTGGATTGGACCCAGGACTTCATTCTGCATTGCAGGGTTGTGGTGAGACCAGCACTGCACAGAATGGCACCTTACCATCTCCCTCATTCAAGGCTCCATTCTTGTACCAATGCAGCCAGTGAGAGCTTGTGTATTTTTGTTGGCCACTGTGAAACTCATTCAGATTGCTGGCTGTGGCCCAATCTCCAAATACAGTTTATTCTCGCTGCTAGGAAACTGGGGGACTAGGAAGCAGCAGCACAGTGACTTGACACTGTGTTGGCATCACCGGAAACTCATGCCAACTGGAGCTCACCCATCCCTTTCCTCTCAGGGATTTGCCCCTTCCCCAAATAGGGAACTTGGCCATTAAAGAACAGGATGGTGACAGCTTCAAAAGCAGACACAAGGTTCAAAGAAGGGCAAATTCGATTCAAGGTCAGAGTCCAACACCCAGGCACCTTCCTAACATATCAGTCCTTGGCCACCTGGGCAACCCCAGGCTATTCTGCCTTCTTTCAGCCACCAGGACTCTGGGAAGCACCAAGCCGTTGGGAGCAGCCCTAGAGTAGCCAGGGGAGGTGAACAGACAGATTCAGCAGCCGTGGGGCAGGGCATTTCTAATAGGGAACTTTTAAGGCAGACACAGCAGGTGCTGCAGGACTCACCAGGTTCTCTGGGACAAACACGTTAAGATACAAGCAATCTTCACTGACTCCAGGGGGTTGGGGGGTACGGATGCCTGGCAGCCAGCAGCTGGCCCTGTGGAGACAGAGCCAGTGATGTGCAGGAGAAATGATGGAGTGGACACACCCTGCCTCCCTCCCCGTCTCCCTCCACAGCTCTGCTCCAAGGCCTGGCTCCCCCAGGACATGGGAGAGGCCAGTGAGGGCACAGAGTGGCTGTGTCTGTCTCCGGCCACCAGACCCAGGGCAGGGAGGCGGGGGACTCCCAAGGACAACATGCTGGTCCCTCAGATGAGACAGAGAAGGGCACAATGGGTACGGCCAGGATCTTGGCCTTCCTTCAGACTCTGTGCAGACTCCGCTGTCAGGGGTGTCTGCCCTGCCTTCCACCCAGCTCAGGGCACTGGGGGACAGCTGGAGCACCCATGGTGTGGGGGTGGAAACTATCTCTGTCCCTGCCTAATTGCAGCATCAGGGTCATCTGCCCAAAAGGCCACCACAGCCATTGCCCACACTGTGCCATCCCTGGGCTGCAGCCACCCGAGATCTCCAGTTGCTCATTATTCAAGACCTGCAGGACCCCACCCCCTCATCCATCCTCGAGAACAGCCAGCTGGATAAGTTGTTCTGATCTGTGTTTAAGGGCAGATGGGGAGACGAGGAAGCTATGGGCACTGTTTCCAGGCCCTACATGAGCTTTAATTTGAAACTATCACAAAATCATTCTACTAAAAATGAAAAATTTCAGTGGCAGGAAATAATAGGGTATGAGTGCTTAAAGAAAAAGAAAGCTTGGAATATTCTTCCAGTTGAGGGGAAATGCATCTTCTTAAATTGTCTTCGTTGGCTTATTCACTTTTTCTGCACTGGTGCATTTCCTTTCTGGTACCACTGAAGTCAGATGTTACCAGGGGGCTGAGTTTGGTACCGGGCCTCCAGACTGGCCCGCAGGGACCTCCCTGTGGGTGATTCCCCAGCTACACTGTCCTCCGTCAGTGTCCGGGCAGACCTTGGAAGACGGACACTGGAGGAGGCAGAGCATTCGCTGGCCTGGGTCCCTCCATCACCTCATGGGGCAGAGCACACAGGCCGGCCCAGCACAGAGAGAGCCAACACGAGCAGAAGTGTGTCGAGCACTGACCCAGGGGGGCTGCATCTGTGACAGCGCTTAATTTCACCCAAAGTGACTCCCCCTGCCCTGCTCAAACCAGAATCCATGGCTCTGCTTTCAAGTCAGCAAAGGTACACACCCCTCAGGTCCTACCTCGGCTTGGTGGCATCCCATGAGCCTGTCCAGTTCAAGGGCTCTGGTGCCTGGAAGCGGCTGTCTGCCAGCGGCGGAGAGGCATAGGGAACTCCAAGGAACTGGTCCACCAGCTTCCATTCAGTGCCCACCCGTACAGCCTGGGACCTGCCCCGCAGCCAGCCATGGGGAATTATGGGCACAGAAGGTGCAGATCCAGCCTCAGAGCGAAGCAGAGCGGTACCTGGGGAAGGGGACAGGGAGGTAGCTGTGAGTACTGAGTACACGGGTCACCGGCCTCCTGAACATGCTTCAAGCACAGGAATCAGGCTTCTCAGACCTTGTGGGTAGTCCATTCAGATCCTAGAGCTTAGGACTATTCCAGGTAGCTTTCAATGAAAACAACAACAAATATAGCAGAAGCTGCTGGTCTTTTTTAGGCACCGGATGTGTGCGGAGTATGGTACTGACCCTCCTTGACGGGCACCGTCTCCTGGATTCTTCTCAATGCCACTGGAAGGAAGGTGCTAAGCCAAGCCCTGCCTCTCACCCACCCCACACCTTGGCATGTAAAAGGGACACTGAGGCACATACATGAGCCCTGTGCAGTCCTCCAGGAGGCCTGGAGAAGAGTCCTGTTGTCAAACATAGCAGCGATTTCTGTGATGAAGTGTATGGCTTGCTCATACTAAGAGGAATGGATGAAGATCATTTCTTTTCATTTCAGATTTTTTAAGCAAATTTATAATATATATATATATACTTTTGGGCTTTGGCATTGCAACTAATTGTAGGCCATATTTACATTTCTCTGGTGACAAGGTAGGGCTGGGACAGGGGTGGGAAGAACATCAGGACCCCATGATGATGTAGGACTCAAAGCTCAGCTTCTGAGCCCAGTCCTGATCAAGCCCTTGTGTACACAAGCCAGGGCCAGGCCCAGCCTCCTTTTCCTGTGTTCTGCTGCTGTGACCCATGCGTGCAGGCCACCTGCCCGTGTCCACTTCCAAGTGCTCAGTCCACAAAGTCACGCCAAAGCCCTGGTCATGCCTCTGTCTCAGACCCTCTGTGGTGCTCACCACCAGCTCCATTCATCCCCCTCCATCCCAACCCCTGCCCTATTTCCTCAACTATATTTGCTTTTGTTCGTTCAGTGATTTGACTCATTTCTGTTGAGTTTCAGCTCAGTGCCAAGTGCTGCTTTCAGGGCCTTGAGACAGGCCTGTGTCTAGTTCCCTACAGAACTCAGGGCCTCGCCCAAAGGAAGCAATAAACACTAGTAAGGAGACACTGGTGCAATGAGAGGAGTCTTCTTTTCCTCATACAGGGTTCTGTCTGCTCAACTCCACTCCTGACTGATTGGGAGACAAAGCTTGCTGCTTCCTCCACACTTCCCTCTGTAAAAATATGTATGTTACGGCAATGGGAAACAGAAATGAGGGAATGGTTCTGCTGCCTCCTAGCAAGTGCAAGGACCCGAGATCGATCCCCGGTACCAAAAAAATAAAGAACAGAAATGAGGGAAATGGAGGCAGACAAGTGAGACAAGTGACAGGTAGAGTCTGTCCAATCCTCACCAGTGTGTTGCAAGCAGTTGTCAGCTGGAAGGAATTTTGTCCCAGATGGCAATATCTGGAGACATTTGTGGTTTGTCCCAGCTGTAGAGGAGCAGTTACTGGCATCTAGTGGGAGACCCTAACATCCTACAATAGACAGGATGTCACGCCTCTCTCAAAGAATTCTCCAGCCCCAAATTTCAGTGATATCTGAAGCTTGGAAAGCTGGTGTGGTGTCTGTTCACAATGGCCATGCACTGAAGACCAGCACAGGGCTCACTGACAGTCTGGGAGTAAAACACACTTTGGGCTTTACATGCTGGGGCTATATATTAAGGAAAACTTTGTGATATTTCTAAGCCTTAGACCTAGAATCTTAGTGGTCCCATGACATAGGAATGGTAGTAACATTCCTGTAACACAATTACATCTGAAACAAATGACAATACTGCTAATGTTCCAAGTAGGGTGCCCGGCAAATAGAGGGAGCTGGACATGTGGATGGATGGAGGGCTGCATGGCTGGTGGGTGGATAGATGGATAGACAGATTTATAGAATAGAGGGACAGAGGCAGAGAGGGAGGGAGAGACAAAGGGAGGGAAAGATGAATACATTTATGGAGAAATAGAGAAAGAGAGAGGGAAAGAGAGAGAAATCAAAAGAGAGACAGAGAGAGAAGGAGGGAGGGACCAGTGGATTTATGGTGGGAGGAATAGAGAAGGATTAGGTAAATGAGTAGAAGGAATAAAGGAAGGGATAGAGAGAGGAAGGAAGGAATAAGAAAGATAGCAAGGAAAAGACGAAAGAGAAAGAAATGCCAATGAAGACTTCTCTGTTGCAAAATCTCTGGAGTATGAATTAGAACCCAAAATGGAGACTTAGGAAGGAAGAACAGTTTCTGTTTTTAACTTGGTCTCAATCACAAATCGTGACTGACCACCCCACACCCATTGCTGCTCACATGTCTTCCTGTTATAGTTGTCTGTCACAGGGCCCACATATTCTCTGGCTGTGCAGGACACAGCCACATTTAATGACTGTGGCCTTTAGTACTGAAGCCAGAAAAAATACAAAGGTGAAAATTATTGCGCAGAAAGGGATAATAGTATGCAGCTCACAGTGCCGTCCTATATAAGGACACATTCAAGGGATGGCTCTCCCTTTTGAATTCTTTTTTTGGGGGGTGGGGAATACCGGGCATCGAACTTGGGCCCTTGAGCTTTACAGGCAGGCAGCAGAACCACTGAGCCAAATCCCCAGCCCTTCCTTTTGAATTCTTTGGCAGAAATGGTGTGTTGTTTCCAACATACCCACAAATCTAGGCTATGTGACTATGTGGCCTAGTTACACTGAATTCATAGAGAAGCAACCTAATCTATTTTACAGAACTCAGTCCTTAGCACTAGGAAATTTCTTCCTATAACTACCACATAGACTGGCCCTACTGGTGAAATGCATTATTAAAATCTGTCCAGCTTAACTCAGTAATATAAATGTACAGATAGAAGAAAAGAGCAAAGCCCTAGGACTTTGGTCTGAGGCTGAGGTGGAGGAAGGCCATAAGAGAAGGATGTCCCCAGCACCCAACAGGACTGATGGACTGTCACATCTCAGGATAGAGGTAGGGCCAAATCCAACTGCTTCCCGCTTCTGTCAATAAAGTTTTATTGGAACACTGCCTTGTCCATTACTTTGAATATTGTGATTTGCTGTTTTCATGCTATAGGGGCCATTTAATAATTGTACTAGAAACTTCTGGTTGCAGAACTTGAAAGAGTTATTACTTGACCCTTTTGAGAAGATGCGTGACCACTTTTCAGGAGACAGGATGAGCGATGTGGTCAACACCATAATGGTTGTTCATGTCCTCCAATGAACATGTCTAACAGAAGAAGCTGCCCTGTACTCCCCAGCTCCCATGCTTCCTGGTCTGAGCTTTCCTCAGTGATGGGTTTGTACTCTGCTCTCTGCTGACCTGGGGAGGGGACCCTGCTTTTCTGCACCCAGCAGAATGTCTGACACTTAACAGGTTCATGTGTGTGTGTGTGTGTGTGTGTGTGTGTGTGTGTCTGTCTGTCTGTCTGTCTGTCTGTCTGTCTCTCTTTCTGTCTGTGTGTCTGCCTGTCTGTCTACATGTCTGTGTGTATGTTGCTGGGCATGCTAAGCAAGTGCTCTACCACTGAGTCAAACTCCCAGCCTTGATTATTTTTTTTTAACTCGTCTCAGGTGGGAACAGCTTCCTTCTTCAAATCCTTTATGATGTGGCTGCTCTCCAGTGTAGATCCCATAGGAGAATGTGACATTGTGAGATCTGGCTCCAGGTACCCACCTCACTGTGCCCTCACTAGATGTGTGAAATCAGAGAGGTTAGGCCCTGCCACCACCTCATTGTGCCATTCCACCCAGGAAGGAATGACCCACTGCCAGGGTCAAACTACCAACTCCTAGTTGGCTCTACACCTTGGCTTTGCTCAGCACAGAATAGCAGATGACAGCCAAGTGACTGACCTTACTGAGGACAACCTCTGCCCTGGAGAAGAGTTTCACTTCAGGACAGAAGTGTTACCTGGTGAGAGACAGCCATGTGAGAAAGACTTAGGAAGGATGAGGGCTAGACAAAGATCCCCTGGAGTCTCCTGAGAAGTTCAAGCTCAGGCCAGGAAGGTCCTGGGGCATGCATTCTGCGGTAGGAGCCAGGTTTGGCGGGTGTGACCTTCAGAGAGTCTGTATCTGAAGGTGAAAGTGTTGAGTCCCATGCTTTCCCTGAGCTCCTGCACTGCTGCTAATATCCAGTGGAAACCAATGCTCTGGCTCACTGTAGGTCAGTATCTGGGTTGCTTAGGTATATACCAAAATCACAGATCTCTTTGCTTTGGTTAAGAATGGCGCCTGAGTGGTTCTTAGGGTTTGTCAGTATCCAGGTCATGTCTGATGGTATTGTTGTTGTTGACTTTACTATGATAGTCAAGGTGGCATAGGTGTTGATTTTCTCTGTATGCCAATATCTAGATTTTCTGAGAGCCTTAAACAATACTGCAGCTACCTCCTGAAGAATCAGATATAGAGCCAAATAAACTACAACCTCCCCTTTCAAATAAATGGAGGCAGTTGGATCCTGGGATAAAAGCAAAGACCAGTAGTTACCCATGCCCAGAAGATATCTCTGCCACAAACCCCAGCACAGGATACAAATAAACACAAATGTACAAATATGAGAAAACAAGGCCATAGAATGCTTCCAAACCTCCCAACTACCCCAAAGCCAATCCAGTGGAAACAAAGAGGGGAAGGAAATAAAAATCCACCCAGCAATAAGGTTTGAAATGATATCAGTGGAGGTAACAAGAAATATCAATAAGATGTATATAGATTCAAAGAAGATATAATGAAACTGATGATTATCCTAATGAAACAAGTGATCAGTAAGTCTAGAGATGACTCTAATAAAAAAAAATAGCTGAGCTAAAGAAAGAGATGCAAAATATGAATGGTCCCCATAGGAAAGAGTTGGAGTCCACAAAAAAATTCCAAACAGAAATCCAGGAGATCAAAAATATGGCTGAAAATCTGGGCAGCAGAAGCAACCAATGTGAGGAAAAAATAACAGATCTGGATGATAGGGCTGTGGCTGATGATCAATCAATGAGAGATACCTTAAAAACAAGAGACAGATGAATCCAACAACTGCTAGATGATACAAAGAAGACTGAGTAACTGGAATTAGGGGAAAATCAGAAGATATGACAAAAGGCATTAAAAAACCTGTTTACAGAAGTAATAACAGAAAAATTTCCAGACCTTGGAAAAAGAATTTAACATGCAAATAAGTGAAGAATACAGAACCCCAAATAGCCACGATGAGAAAACCTACTCAACACCAGAAATCCAACACATGAGTGGAATCTTAAAAGCTTTCAGAGAACAGCAATGATTCTCTTATAAGGCAAAAACCATCTGAATTATAGCAGACTTCTCAGTACTAACCTTAAATTCAAAAACTTAAAGTGTTTCAAGCCCTCAAAAAAACTTCCAACCCACACTGATATATCCTGTAAAATTATCTTTCAAAACTGTTGGAGAAATAAGATATTTCCACTGTGAAGAGTACCTAAAGAAATTTGTGGCCAAGAAACCAACATTCCAAAAAATTCTCAAGGATATCCTAGAAGGAGACCATCAAGCTAACCAAAATGCCCAAAACCATGAATGCATTGGGTAGGGTAAGCAATTAAGTGAAAGGAAAGAAAGGAAAACAGTGACAGAAAAATAATACAATAACGAGAATGCCAGTACTTATAAGCTATAACTATCAATGTAAATGGTCTCAATTCAGCAATTGAAAGACATAGATTAGCAGAATGGAACAAAAGACAAAATTCTTATGGCAAACACATTTAACTAAAAAAGAAATTCATAGACTAAAAAAAAGAAAGAAAGAAAAGAAAAAAGGATGGGAAATAATATTCCATACAACCAAAACCCCAATTAGACAGAGAAAATCAAGCAGGAGAAAGAAAAGGAATACATACAGGAAAGGGTGAAGTCAAAGTATCACTATTTGCAAATGACATGAAGTAAACACAAATATCAATAGCATTCCTATATACTAATAATGAACTCACTGAGAAATAAATAAGGAAAACATTACCATTCATAATAGCATCAAGAAAAATTAAATACTTAGGAATTAACCTAACCAAAGTGAAAGACCTTGGCAATGAAAATTATATAACTCTGAAAGAGGAAATCAAGGAGGATATTAGAAAATGTTCCAGAGTAGGGAGAACAAATGTAATAAAAATGGCTACACTTCCAAAACAGATATATAGATTCAACACAACACCAGTCAAAAAATTAATAGCATTTCTCATACATCTATAGAAAACAATCCTGTAATTCATATGAAACCAGAAGAGTCCCAGAATAGCAAAAGCAATCCTGGGCAACAAGAACATAGCATGAAGCATTACAATCCCGGACTTGAAGCTATTCTACAAGGCTACTGTGATTAATGTGTTCAGAGCAGCACTGTAACTTGTATGTCTTGCTACTGAGTGGCTTGAACCACCACACATGATTGTCTCATCAGGTGGCTTTTCATTAATTTTATTAGTAAAAAGACTTACAGAAATGGTTAGGTCTGTTTGTAGCACCAGTTGTACAAGCTGCCCAATGGAACAGTCTTGCATGTACCACTGCTGGTTCAAGCCAGCAGGAACATGATAAAACAGCATGGTACTGGCACAAAAACAGACATGAAAATCAGTGGAACAGAAGAGAAGAAACAGAAACATCCCCAGACACATTCACCTATTTAATCTTTGTCAAAAAGGTCAAAATCATACACTAAAAAATTTACCTTCTTTAATAAATGGTGCTGGGAAAATTGGATAGTCCAATGCAGAAGATTGAGTCTAGACCCATCTATCTCAGTATGTACTGAACTATAATCAAAATAGATCAAAACTCTAAATGGTAAAACAGAAACACTTAATCTTCTGGAAAGATAAAAAATAGGTAAAACTCTTGGAAGTACCAGTGGCACAAGAAATGATACTAAGAATCAACAAATGAGATAGTATCAAATTAAAAAGTTTTTGTAGGGGGCCGAGGATTTAGCGCAGTGGTTCTGGCACCTGCTTTGAAAATGCAAGGACCCGTGTTCGATCCCCAGTATCAAAAAAAAAAGCTTTTGTAGAGCTGGGGATTTGGCTCAGCCGTTTGGTTGCCTGCCTTGT